TCCTTTTCTATTATAACATTTTCCATTAAAACGTTTTTAAAAAATAAATTTTTATTTAAATCGCGCGTTATTTTTTTTTTATTAAACCTAACTATAATTTCCTACAATTATAAATATAAATTATATTAATTAATTTTCCATATTTTAAACTTAATTTATTATTAAAATAATAAAATTAATTAAATATACCATATAATTAATTCGTTTATTTCTTAAAAAAAGTAACAATAAATTATTTTAAATTTATTAAAATAACAATACTTTTTATAATAATTAAATATAAATATAATTATATTATATATTATAAATAAATTGTAAAAACTGCCTTATTTTATATTATACACACATAATTTAAATAATTTTATACTTTACGTTAATTACTTATTTATTATATATATTAACATTAATAATTAACCATAAAATTTATTTATTTATTTATAATATTAATTAAAAATTTTATACTAATATTATTTAAAATCTTCTTTTAACTAAATTTTTTATAATTTTAAATTAATTATTATTTAAAATAATAATTTAATTTAATTATTATAAATTTATAAAATATTTTTTTTTTAAATAAAAAAATAATTTAATTATTATTTAAAAAAATTATTTTAAAATTAATTTTAAAAAATTAATAAATAATTTATTTATTTATTTATTTACATATTAAATAAAAAAAAAAGAAATTTATTTATTTATTTATATATTTTTTTAATTAATTTTTATAATATATTTTATAATTAATTTATATTAAATTTAATAATTTAATATTAAATACGTTTATTATTTTAAATAATTATACTTTTTATAATTATTATTATTAAAATAGTTTTATTATAAACTAACGTTTTTATAATTTATAAAATTAATATAAATATACATTAATTATTATTAAAAAAATAAATTATAAAATTTTTAATTTTAAAAAAAATAATATTAATAAACTTAAAAATAATAATTTTTACATTCGTTTATTATAAATCTTCCGTTTTTTTTAAATTATATACGTATAATTCTTATTTTAATATTAAATAATTATAAATTAACATATAAAAAATCTTTAATATAATAATAAATTATTATATATATTAATTTAATTATAAACTTATAATAATTAACGCGTTAAATAATGTGTTATAATAATATAATTAATATAAAAAATATTTAAATAAAATAATCTATAAATTTATATATATAAAATTTAATAATTTATATAAATTATTATTTATTTTATATTATATTTTTTTTATAATTAATTTATTTAATTTTTAATTTATATCTTTTTTATTTAATATAAATTAATATAATAAATGTTGTTTAAACAATTAATTTTATATATATTATATATATAAAAATATTTAATTTATTTAAATTATATATTATTTTTAAATTAATTTTTAAAAGTTAATATAAAAAGACTTTTTTAATAATTTTAAATTAATATAATTTAATAAAAATAAAATATATAATTTAAATTTAATATTATATAAATAATTTTATATTTTATTAATTACTTATTTAAAACTTTCTTAAATAATTTATATTTTTAATTTATTTTTTTATAAAAGATTTATAATAATAATAAGTTAATTAAAGTTTTTAAAAGTATAATGGCGGATATTTATATATCCATTTTAATCGATATAATTTACTTAAAAATTTAACACTATTTTTTTATTTATTAAATTAAACATTTATAAAATTAATTAATTTATATAATTTAAATTATAAATTTTTTATTAAAGTATTATTATTATATTATAAATTTCCTTTATATGTAATAAGTTATTTTTAAATAAAATATTTTCCATAAATATATTCCTTTTTATTTTAAATTATTAATTTACATATTTATATATAAAAAATTATTAATATTACATATTTATCTTTTAAAACTACAAAGATATAATAATACCTTTTTAAAATTTTCCGCGTTTTTAATTATTAATTTAATTATATTAAATATAATAATAAATTTAAATTTTATTTAAAATATAAATAATATATAAATATTAATAATAAATAAATTTATTATTTATTAAAAAAAATAAATAAAAAATAATAAAAATAATAAAAAATAAAAATATAAAATCTTTTAAATTTTTTAATATTTAATAAATATTAAAAATTATTTTAATAATTTATAAAATTTTTTTATAATATTTTTTAATAATATTTAAATAAATAATTTTTTATAAATATATTTTAATTTTAATATTTAAATAAATATATTAATAAATTATATAAATTAATATATAATATTTAAAATAATAAAAAAATACGTTTATTTATTATATTTAAAAATAAATAAAAGTAATATTAATTGCGTAATATGTTTATTACTACGTGCGTAGTAAATAAGGTACGTACTTATTATTCTTTTTTTTTTTTTAACATTTACCTCGATAATTTTACTAATTTTAATTTAATTCTTTTTAAAAAATAATAATTAATTATATAAGAAGATTAATAAAAATACGGTTTAAGTTGCACGTAGTTTAAAGTTAAATTAATTAAAATATTAAAAAAGTAAACTTTTATATATATAAAGTAATATTTTTAATGGTTTTTATTAATTTACTTTAGCGTATTTTATAAATATAATTATATCTTTACGAAATAAATTGTTAAAAATCAAAAATCTTTTTTATAATATTAACAATTTAATTATTTGATTATTAAGACTTTTTCGAAATTTATCCGAACTATATTTATAAAATTATTAAAGGTAAAAGGTATAAAGGTTATAAAAGATAAAGGTTATTAAAAAAAGCTTTAAAATAGCCATTATAGTTAAAATTCATACTTTCAGCCGTATCCAGGTCAATATTGATCCGAATCACGTGTACCTTAAATTGTAATTTTGCTGATTTTCTTATTTAAATTATAGTATAAATTATATAAAAATTGGACTAAAATTCGTAAAGTTATTTAAAAAAAGGTACGGGAAGCGATTTTAACTTACCCGGGAGCATACCCCGCATACTACGCACCTAACAAATAACACACTACGCAATTAATGTTACTCATAAATAATATATATAATATAAAATTTAAAAAAACGCATGTATTTATAAACTCGTATAAACGTTTTCACGTGTTTATAAATTCGCACGTAAAAATCCGTTAAAAACATTAAATCTTTTATTAATTTTTTTATCATTTATTAATAAATTACTTATTAATTATTTATTATTTTTTTATCATTTCTTTATCATTTTTTTATTAATTTCGTATAATAATTTTTAAAAGTTTTAACGTAAAAAATGTCTTTAACAAATAATATATAATATATAATATATATAAAAAGTAACATTAATCGTATAATATGCCCATTATTACCCGTGTAATATACGAGGTATAATCCCGGGTAATTTAAAATCGCTTTTCGCATTTAATTTTAAATAACTTTACGAATTTTAATTCGATTTATATATAATTCACACTATAATTTAAATAAAAAAATTAATAAAATTCCAATTTAAGGTGCACGTGACCCGGACCAATATTAACCCGGATGCGGCTAAAAGTATAAATTTTAATTATAATGGTTATTTTAAAGCTTTTTTTAATGGCTTTTATCCCTTGTAATTTTAACAACTTTTATCTTTAATAACTTTACGAATTTAGCTTCGAATAATTCTAAAAAAACGTTATTATTAAAATAATTAAATAAGTAAATTTATAAAAAAGTCCCCGTATTTTTAACGATTTATTGCATAAAGATACGGCTGTTTTTAAATAATAAGTTAAAGTAAATTAATAAATATTAATAAAGAAATCATTTTATATACACAAATGCTTACTTCTTTAATATCTCGGCTAATCCGGGGCCGAATCACGTGCACCCTAGATTGAAATTCTGCTAATTTTCGTATATAATTAATTATGTTTTTTTTAAAAAAATCGGACCAGTATTCGTAAAGTTATTAAAGTAATTGTAAAAAAGGTAAAAAAAAAACCGGGTACGTACCCCGTTTTACTGCACGGGTAACAATGGGCATATTACACGACTAATGTTACTTTATATAAAATACGTATTAAAAAAAAAATAAAAAAAAATAAAAAATAAAAAATAATTAAAAAATTAATTAAATATTAAGAAAATTTTATATATTAAACTTAAAATATATTAACGTTTTAAATTATTAAAATTAATATAATAAAAGTAAAATTTTTATCGTAATTATTTTAATATTTTTATTTTTTTATTAAAATAAAAAAAACATTTTTTATTTTTTATAATATATAATTATATAAATAAATTAAAAATAAATAATTTATATAAGTAAATTTACACGAAAATAATAATTAATATAATATAAAATTTTTAAAATTTAATAAAAATTTTTAAAATTTAATAAAAATTTTAAATTAATATAATTATAAAAACGTAAATAACGGTTTAAACTTTTAATATTTTAAAATAAATTTACTTTTATTTATATATTTATAATTATTTAAACATTTAAACGTTTTTACTTAATAATTAATTAATTTAACATGGTTTTTAATTATTATAAACTTTTATAAATAACGGTTATTAAACGGGTTAATTTAAACTTATAAAATTATAATTTTTAAAGTTAAAATTAAAGTTAAAACGGGGATTATAATATATATTCATAAAATTATTAAAAATATAAAATATTAAAATTATAAAAAATTAAAACCATTAAAAAATGTTTTAAAATAATCGTTATAATTAAAATTTATACTTTTAACCGTATTCGGGTTAATATTAATTTAAATCACGTGTATTTTAAACCGTAATTTTACTTATGTTTTTATATAAATTACGGTATAAATTATATAAAAATCGAATTAAAGCTTATAAAGTTATTTAAAAAAACGTGCGAAAAGCGATTTAAAGTTACCCGGTACGTATCCCCGCGTATTGCACGGGTAGTAATGCCCCGTACGCGCTTGCGCGGGCGGGCAAGCCACGTCAACGTAATATATCGGTATCAACTATACAACATAAACCTTTCATAAATTCAAATCACTGATTCCAATACCAAACTCTCCGCATGTTTAGTCAGTTTTGTAACCATTTTCACGAACAGCGCAAGGATCTCATCTGCTTGTCGTTGATCAAAAACAGCACTTGTAAGGACGATCCTCAAATTCGTAATTCTGGGGTTCAGCTCGCTCGGGAACGGCAAGCATAGCAGCATCGGGTAGATTTCCGTCATTTTGAAGTCGTACTGTTGAAGATGACATGGATTATCCCCCGCAAAAACATATTCGCTACCAACGGGCGCGCTGAGATAGTGAACTGCAGACCCGGGATCCGTATCGCGCGGCCATGCTGTGCTCTGCCTGACGAGATCATCCCAATCCGCCGTATCGCAGTCCATGGTCCGCATTTGCTGGCGTTGGACGAATTCCAAAAGGTCCTCCGTAACCCATTCCGGTTTTAGGAGGACTCGGACGGGGGCTAAATTGATGCAAGGCCCGACCGTGCGCTCGATACCTGGGATAGCCAGATGACGGTTTCTCACGACTTGAGCAAAGACTACATCTCTTGTCCTCGCTTTCTGGGCAAGACACAGGGCCCACGCTGCTTTGACGACAGTAGCCATGGTGAAACCCCTATTTGCATCGGGCATTGGAATATTGCAGGTGCTCATTACCTTGAGCTCAATTTGCGACCTGTCCACATTCCGGAAATATTCGTCACGCGGAGCTAGGTAAGTCATGGATGACCCTTCGAGTAAGCTTTGCCATACTTGGAAGACGGATGGTGTATTATGTGTCGCACGGCTGGTGATGAAGCTGGGGTAGTCCAAAGTGGGAAGCGTGTGCGAAACTTCTTCGTCAAAGGCGGAGCGAAGATCTTCAATAAGACGCGCCACTGTCACACCGTCGTATTGCGCACGCGAGAATTTTAACACCACCGAAAGACGGCCGCTTACCCGCCCTACTATCATGTAGAGCCGAGTGCACGGAGTCCCGAACGAGGCGGGGGATTTATCCGCTTCCCGACAGATGGACTCCGTAATCAGAGAAGGATCATCTTCATCGGTGCTAATTTCCTGCACTGGGACGTCGAAATCGCTCATGGACACCTGCACAAATGTCTTCTCAAAAGGAACGAAGACAGTCCGAAAGATGTCATGCTTCTGCACGACGGCGATAAAGGCGGTCCGGAATGCTGTAGGGCTAAGTGGTCGAGAAAAATGTAATGTGAGAAAGGCGGCGTGATGCGACGAGATGAACCCCCGCTGATAGTAGGTTGTTGGAACAATATCAGCAATTTGATTTCGATCCAAGTGCCATTTTGCGCAGAGTCTATCCGCGGACGCCATCAGAGGGTTGAGTTGTTGTGTCTGGTGTTTCTCTTGCTCGATCCCTTTCTCCTGGATAAGTACTGCGGCTAGCTCTGATAGTCGTGGATGCTGAAATATGGTCGGTACTGAGATCGTTAAGCCATTTTCGCGGACAAATGTCGCTAGGGACATGGCCTTGAGAGAATCCAATCCAAGTGTAAAGATGTCCTCATCTAGGGGAATGCTATCCGAAGGTTTGTGCAGTACGCCGCCTACATATTCCTGTAGTCGTGCTTCCATCAATGTCGTTGGGGTTCGCCGAGTGCTATTGATAGCGCGGTAACAATCAAGTTCCGCTTGGGATAACGAAGCGACATGATCTCGAAGAAGTTTCCTATCGGTTTTTCCCGTAGGCGCTTTTGGTAAATAGGCCAGCGGTAGAAATATGTTGGGTATCATATATGATGGCATGGTTTCCCGAAGACTGGAGATGGCGGCGCTGACAGATTCCAGGAATAAGCTAGAAGGAGGGTAGAGGAGATTGTCGTTGCTACTTTGTGGTGCACATTCCACCTCCTTACCAAGGATAAAAGCTGCCACGAGCATCGATTCGGCGCTTTTAATAATGTCGACAACTACATGGTTTCCAGGGAAAGCTCGTGACGTTAGAAATTCCACTTCTCCTATTTCAACCCGCTGGCCCCGGATTTTAACTTGATTATCCTTGCGCCCGACGAAAATAAGAGTGCCGTCCTGAGTGCATCGAACGAGATCTCCGGTCTTATACAACCTCGTGGATGTATGCCCTCTTCGGAAATCCAAAAGCCAGGATGGAGGGTCAATAAAGCCTGCGGTAGTTGCCTCTGGATTATTTATATATCCGCGGCCTACTATCGGTCCTTCCAAGACCAACTCTCCTACGGCGCCGGGGGGTGCTAGGAGGTGATGGTTGTCACGATGTACTACCCATGCTACGCACCCGCAAGGCTGTCCGATCGTTCTTGGATTACTCGATAGCATCAGTGGCTTGGACACAGCGCTGGTTATACTGCATTCGGCCGGGCCGTAGCTTTGGATAAGGCGCACCTTATCGTGCCAGGTCGTCAGATCCGCGAGGGAGAGGGCCTCACCACCAAGCGTCAATGTTTCTAGATGGGTGAAGTGCTCTGGACGCAACATTTGGGCGACGGTCGGTGTCAAAACTGCCCAGTTCACCTTCATTCGGTTTGCTGCTTGCGCAAGATTGCCAATGCGTTCCTCGTCGGAAGGTATGCAGACGCATCCACCCGCGTGTAAGGTGAGTAGGATTTCCATCACGGCGACGTCCCAATCATGTGAAGAGAACTGTAGCACGCGAGAGCTAGAGGTAATAAACATTCGAGGCTGCATGCATCTCAAAGATGTTTCGAGACACGAATGCTCGATGATAGCTCCCTTAGGCTTACCTGTCGTTCCGGAGGTAAACATCGTGTAAGCAATATTGCTTCCTTCTATCTTCACTCTTAGCCAAGAGTCCTGTTGCTCAGCTTTTTCTTCTTTGAATAGCCGGTCTGTAATTTGGATTACCCGGGGAGAAAGGGCTAACGCCTTGGACAATGTTTGGGGTGATGCTAATATGATAGGAGGATTGACGGCTTCATATATCGTCTGAAGGCGTTGTATCGGATGCGACGCATTAGTGAGGACGAAAGACGCGCCTGATTTGAAGACGGCAATCATCGCCACCGGAGTCCATCGTGTCTTTTCCAGTAGTATAGGGACAACGTTATTTACGCCGACGCCTTGGTTGATGAGTTCATCTGCTAGTGATGAAGAAAGCTGGTCTAGTTGCTTATAAGAAAAGCCCCCATCCCATGCGTGAACCGCTGGCGAATCGGGGAATTGAAGGGAACGCTGATGGATAACATAGTGTGCGAGGTTATTATCTGGAGTAATCATTGCACGGTTCCGCTCGTAGATTTTATTCTTCTCCTCTTCGTCTATAATGCCAATCTCGTTTAAATGTAGGCAAGGATGATCTAGTATTTTGGTCAGAACGTGGGCGAAAGCCTTCGCAATCATCCTAGCATAAGTATCACTGAGTAGCGATGTATGGTAACAAAACATCATATGAGTTTCCTGAGCGAGCATGAGAATGTTCAATGCGATAGGGTACTGCGATGAGTGGATGTTGGTTAGCGGAATGTTCAGTATGGATATGGGAATAGGGGCAGTGTAGTACTCACCTCTGATCGGGCTTGAATATCATTACCAACTAATGAGATGGAAGAATCTTGCCCAGCTAGTTCATATTCTCTCATGTTATTGAATATCGACATCATTGTGTTGAACAACTCTCCCGAAGCTGACCCGATGGAGTGCATAGTCTCCGCTAACGATTGGTGTTGATGATCCAGACTGGAAACGAAGCTGTCCTGATACTGCTGCATGATAGAGAGAACTGTTTCATCAAATACCAAATTCACCCGAGCCACCAACATGTTGAATAAAGGACCTACGATATCGTTTATACCGACGATGGGTACGTGGCGACCGGATGCCATATAGCCAAAGCACACTTCTTCTGTTGCTGTGTATCGTTGGACCACTATGGCCCATACTATGTGGAACACACTGGAAAATGCCAAGTTGTAGTTCTCGCAGAATTCGGTTAACTTAGCACTTTCTCCTAAGGACAAGGTGAATGTGCCAAAAGGTTGCGATGAGTCCTCTGAATCCAAGTCCTTCAGATTAGGGAAGTGACATGGAACGGCGCCCTTCAAGTAGGACTTCCAGTATTCCTTGGATTTATTTTGAGAGATTCTCTTCTGCACATCGGAAAGGTATTCACGGTAAGGGGAGGGCGCAGGGGATGAAAGTAGGTGACCTTCGTACGCTAAGGCTAAGTCCCGCTTGATGATAAACATTGAGTGTCCATCAACAAGTGCGTGGTTAATATATAAGTGAATCGAGAACTCGCCGACGTTCGATATATCAACCTGAAGGTGATGCATAGGCTGAGAATAGACTGGTAAGTCTGGGTTTCCTGCCTCCTCTTCACCGCTGTACACTATGAAGGGTGGTGTGTAGCTCTTCAACACCACCTGGTCCAGATAGTTTTCCCGGTAGACGTCCATAAATACTGTGCGGAGGACGGCATGTCGTTCTACCACTTGATACCATGCTGTACGGAGACGATCAATATCGATGGGGCTGTTGCTAGTGATCTTCCACTGGATAGCCTCCTCGTAGTGGCTGGGATTTCGAGTATAGCCGATCAGAATACCCCGCTGGATGGAAGAGCATGGATAGACGTCCTCGACGGCCTGGTCTTCTCCGAGGTGGCGTTTGATGCGGGTAATGTATTCTTGTAGCCTGTCAGGACTGCACCAGGAAGGACTGGATTCTGTAGTAGTTATAGGCTCTGATCTAGATGGCTCAGGGCGTCGTACTACCGCTGCTCCAGCTGCCAGCTTCTGGATCGTTCGTTCTTTGAAGATAGCTTTGACTGTGATTGGGATTCCTATCTCGCTACACTTGGTAGCAACTTGCATACATGTGACTGAATCACCTCCCAAGCGGAAGAAACTGTCATGGATACTAATGAAATCGGGAGAAATATTGAGAACATGACCCCAAATCGTCTGAAGCTCGTGCTCAAGATCGGTAGCGGGAGCCACCTTTTCGGCGGAACTGTAACTCTGCCAATCTTCCTGAGATAAGCTCATAAGAGACCTGGTGATCTCCCTTCGGTTGACTTTTCCGTTTGCATCTTGTGGGATGCGAGAAACCGGTAAGAATATATTGGGTACCATATACGAAGGGATTCTTTCCCGCAGTGCGAACTCGGCGGTAGATTCGGCAGTTGAAAATTCAGAACTTTTAACAGGTAACAAGAAATCATCGCCTTTTCTTTCTTCATGAATACGTGAATTCCCTAACATCCACTCAGAGGAGGTGTATGTGGTTAGGACCAGAGCTATCAGGACTGTCGAAGGCGTGTTGGGCAGAGTGACAACGTCGACGACTGTTTGAATTGCATCCGGAAAGCAGTTCTGGAGATGATATTCGACTTCCTGAAGTTCAACTCGTTGCCCGCGAAGTTTCACTTGAGAATCCATCCGCCTGACGTATGAAATTGATCCGTCGGGTTCATATTTGACAATATCGCCTGTCCGATAAACCCGATCTTCTCCGTCCTCACCTCTCAAACTCTTCAACCAGCGAGGTCGAGGGATAAATGCGGCAGCTGTCCGTGCTGGATCACCCAGATAGCCCCGAGCGAGCGGAGCACCTTCTATGATTAGTTCGCCTTCTGCGCCAATTGCGACTGGGAGGTTATCTGGAAGTTTTGGATCTATGATCCAGCAAACGCCACTTGTCGCGAAGCCAATATTCTTAGGGTTTTTAGCGTCGATACTGATGGCGCCTGTGCTGCAACTACACACGCTACATTCGGCTGGGCCGTAGCCATTGAACAGTCGCACGTGAGGCGCCCAGTTTTCAATGATCCCCTGATGCATAGGCTCGCCTCCTTGTACCAGAGTTTGTAGGTCAGGAACAGCAGCGGGAGTAAGTAGCGATATGGCCGAGGACGTTAATATTGCAACAGTTATATGCATATCATTCATGATCTTTGCTAGGCGGTTATCCCTGTCAGACGAAGATGGAATACAGATGCACCCTCCTGCGAGAAGGGTAATGAAATGCTCTAAGATCATTGCATCGAAGCCGTATCCGGCGAACTGAAGGACACGTGAACTCTCAGTCAGATCGTAGAGATCTATCAGACGATTTGCAGTAGTTAGAAACGCGGAATGCTCAATAACCACCACCTTGGGTTTGCCCGTGGTTCCTGATGTGGCAATACTATACATAGCATCGGATGCGGTCGCTCTGTCCTGTCTAAAAGGCGGGTTGAGGACGCTGGCTTTTTCGCAGAAGTATTCCCCATTAACCACGAGAAGAGGACCCGGAACCTCAAGGTCACTCCCAGATGCTTTTAACTCCTGAGAGGTCAATATCGCAGCTGGTTTGGCGGTACGACATATCTCGCGTAGACGACCGATGGGCTGAGAGGTTTCCAAAGTCACGAAGGCAGCCCCTGAGAGCAACACGGAAACTTGAGCCACCACTGTCCATAATGACTTTTCAAAGTAGATAGCAACGAATTTATTTGGACCGAGCCCAAGGGCTTGGAGATGGCTAGCTAACTGCGTAGCTTGTTGCTCAAACTCATGGTATGTTAGGGTCCCGTCCCACGATTGGACTGCTAGTGCTTCTGGTTGCCTTTGGCATATCTCCTGAATCGCCTCATGTACGCATAGTTGTGTTGTCGGTGGAAGTATAGAATTCCACATTTTAATCTCATTCCAATCTTGATAGCTCAGCCTCTTAATATCACCGACTTTGGTGTCTTTTGATTCAATGACATGGACCTGTGTTAGAATGTGTTCATACTGGCACAAAATCCGCTGCATCTGAGGGCCTGGCACGACCGACGAGTCAAATATTGCGGTTACCTCAATTGAGTCAGGCAATAGTTGGCATCTAAGCGTCAATAATTGACTACTAAACTTGGTAAGGTCGGATAAGAACTCATGTTGAGTGTACCACTCCCCCTGAGATTGGAATGGGCGCTTAGGTTCGACGACGAGTAACGTCTGAAAACGACAAGCAGCCGCTGCATTTGAGCCTTGCTGAGAAATGCGTTTCAAGCCGATGTGCTCGTATTTCGTATTTTCTGTTGATTGGTATTGAAGGTCTTCCAGGGCTTCCATCACCTTTTGGCTAGGGTCGATGGATACTCTAAGGGGTATGCTCTCGATTGTGGGACCTATCATCTTGTCGATACCCCTAACTGGTGCAGTTCTCCCTGAAGAGATCACTCCAAAAATGACGTCCAGGCTGTTCGTGTACGTCTGGCTGACGATTGCCCAGGCCAATTGAAGTTTGGTTGCAATAGTCACGCCATGAAGTTCGCTAGGAATGCTACCTAGAGAAATCGACCTAGTGATCGATGATTCGGGTACCGGTTTATAGTTAAGAGAAGGTAATTGAGGGAAGTGTACGGGATCTGCGTCCTGTAGCTCTGCTTTCCAATATAGCGCGGCGGAGTGCATTGAATCTAGCATATGCCTTACAAAACGGTTGAAAGGAGGTCCTTTTGGGATAGAAAGGTAGTCATACGCCTGCCCAACCTCGGTGATGAGTAATGGTAACGACCAACCGTCATATACTGCGTGGTGCATAGCCACTAACAACCGATCTTCAGTGAAGCGTAGCTGAATTAGTGGAGTGTTTAGACCAATACATGGTTGGAACTTGGTAGTGAGGCTACTGCTAGTTCCGTCTGAGAAGGAGATCGGACCTCTCACGATAACCTGGTAGAAACCGCTATCGGTATGAATGATGCGTGTGCGAAGGATGTCGTGGTTATTTGCAACAGTATTCCATGCAGCTTCCAACCTTGATTTATCGGTATTCCTCCGAAGATTGAAGGACTGTAGCGCAACATAGGCATCTTTGTCATATGCAGTAGCGACGATGAGACTCTCCTGTAAAGGAGTACAGGGGTATATATCTTGAATATCCCCTTTTACGACCCCGCAGTTTTCGCTGGCAATTTCAGCCAACAATTCAGCATCTGGGACTAGAGTAAAAGGTGCCGGTCCAGAAAAGTCCGAGCTTGAAGATAGGGGTACCATAACAGAATTTACCGACGAGGCCATATCTTTCAGGATGGGATGTTGGAAGATGTGTTGGAATGTAAGGTTGGATAGCCCCTTTTCTTGAGCTACCGCTAAGAGCTTCATGGCGCGGATAGAGTCGCCGCCTAAACGGAAGAAATTGCTCTCCGCCCAAATCAGATCAGGATCATAGTCTAGCACCTGAGCGAAGGCGCTTTGTAATAGACGCTCGATATTCGTCGTTGGTGCTTCTCCATGTTCAGACTCTTCCCCAAAGCGATTTAAATTCTCTGGAGATAGTGAGAGAGCCAGTGATTTAAGCCTCATTCGATTAGTCTTTCCACTCTTGGTCAATGGAATATGGCTTATCGGGAGGTATATAGTCGGAACCATAGAGCTGGGTAGAACACTCTTTAAATTCAAAGTTGCATTCGTTATTTTGATTCTTAACCCCTTAGTAATATCTTCTACGTCCAACAACCGAATGTCACTCGTTGTGCTATCTCGATAGTCTGTAGTTAAAATGAATGCCGCAAGACACCTGTGGTTCTTGAAATCCACTGCATCGACTACTACCTTGCGGGCGACGGAGGAAAGGTATGTTTGGACGTGGAATTCGATGTCGGCAAGCTCTATTCTCTGCCCCCGAATTTTTACTTGGAGGTCCTTTCGACCAATAAAGTGCAAAGCCCCATCGCGGCCATATTGAACTAAATCGCCTGTCCTGTATAGGCGCGTAGACCGGGAAGAACTTGGACGGAAGCGAGACAGCCAAGTCGGAGGCGAAATGAAGGGCGAATCTGGAAGAGAAGAAAGTGGATCGTGAATATAGCCTCTTGCGACGGCCGGGCCCTCAATAACAAGTTCCCCTATGGCGCCTACAGGGACCAACTTCTGGCAGTCCCCCGGATCTACAATCCAGGCACACTGAGACGAAAAGGACCACCCCAGAAAGCTAGCAGCAGATTGGTCAACCTGACCAGAGATCCCAAGTGGACAGCATTCGGCGGGGTTGTACCCGGTGATGAGGTTCTTCGTCGTCCATGTACCTATATCTTGAGTACTCACGGCCTCACCTCCCAAGCATAATGTACGCAGCGAAGGAAACTCCTCTGGCCGATATAGACGGGCTACCGTGGGTGTTAGAAAAGCCCACGTTGCCTGAAGTTCACTTGCTATAGCGGGGAGATTCTTTAAACGGTCTTCTTCGGAAGGTATAGCGACTGAAGCTCCAGCGGTGAGTGCGGCAAGAATCTCGAAAATGCTAAGGTCAAATGCGTAGGATGCAAAGTGCAGTATACGCTCGTGGGGTCGGATATTAAGGGGAGTCAGGGAGGCCAGTGCGCACGAAGAGAAAGATCGATGTTCGATCACGACTCCTTTTGGCTTACCGGTGGAACCCGAAGTAAAAATAGCATATAAGGCATTGCTTGGGCATACATTTGATAGCGGCGTTGACTGTTCCTGTTCATTCCGGCTATCTGTCGTCCACAAGCTATCTCCGACAATCAGTACTGTATGTGCCAACTGATTCGCTTTGTGAACATTACTCTCTGTTGTAAGTATCACGGTCGCTTCCAATGACTGACAGATCTCCAATAGACGACTTAGGGGGTATGAACGATCCAAAGCGCAAAAGGCACCACCCGCCTTCATTACAGCAAGCATGGCAACCGGCACCCATTTTGATCGGTCAAGATAAATTGGCACAAACAGATCTGGGCCCACACCTGCTTCGTGGAGCTGTCTAGCAAGGTTAGATGAGAGGTGGTCGAGCTCGCGATATGCAAGGGAGCCATCCCAAGAAACTACGGCAGGAAAATCAGGCTGCGAGTGGATTTTCTGGCCGATCAAGTCATTGAGGCATGATTCTGTTGCAATGGGGGCCTGCGTATTCCATTGTGATATTTTCTGCTGATCGAGATCGCTGAATATTTCTATTTCCCTGATGGGCAGGCGTGGATATTCAACAATGAAAGTTAAGGTAGCACTCAAGGCAGCAGCCATATGACTGGCCTGGTCGTCTGACATGAAATGGTCTCTATATAAGAGAAAACATTGCTCCTTGGAATCGATGACGATAGAAATATCATACTGGCTAGGATTAGCTCTTTTCATGTAAATACTCTCCTCATAAAGAGACTAAATATGTAGATTCTTACGTCGGTTAGATCTTTTGTATCAGCTATTTCTAGAGGTAGAGTGTGAGATACCCCGTCGAGGGAGTTTTCCTTCGTCCGGAAAATCGCACATGTATTGAAGAGCGCATCACTCCTAACGTCTAACTGATGGTAAATCTCAGCTGGGAATACGTTTTGGTGCGGACGAGCCGCCATAGATTCCAACTCCGATTTGCGAACAATATCCAATGGGGTTGTGTGTTTCTCGATCTGGACACCATAAGGGAATATTTTAGTATGCGGCCCGATGATACCATCAGTGCCGTCTAGGGGCATATCGTTCTCAGTGGTCCCATATCCGAAGCAGACGTGATCTGAACCCGTATAGGTATGTAGTATCATTGCCCAGGCTGTCTTTAATACAGATCTGAGAGTGATACCAGCGCTCTCGCTGAAATTATGTAATGCGGCGATAGCGGGACCAAAAATGACTTCCACCGACTTGACTTGAGATGAATTTGGATGAGATATCCCATGATCGCGACCGGGTAAAATACAAGGTTGGAGTTCAAGTAGGTGTGACCTCCAAAATTCGAGCGATTGGCCTTTACTTGTCAAGTTTTCTGGATCCACAACATGATGAGTATCTTCGAAGGTGATTCTCAGGGAGCCACGAGGGCGCGTACCACCATTAAGAGAGTGGTAAGCGTTTTCATGGGGATTAATCTCATGTCTCATGGACTGTCTAGTATTATGGCCTGAGAGTTGAGTGGCCTTGTTGGTGCTAGTGAGCTTTATAGCTAAGCTGCTCATGTCGATAGATAGCGTAGGGATCGATTAAACGTGAGAGAAAAACTTAACAGAACTAACATAAACAACTCGTAGCATCTATCAGAAACCAGATGAGTCTGAACGCAAGGTTTATTTATATAAGGGTAAACCCCTATGTTGGTATGGCTCCCAGTAGGGCCTTGGTACGAAAAGTGGGTATTTTAAAGTGATATGAAGCAGCTGAAGATGCTGAAAGGATAATATACAACACAAAATGGAAGTACTTAAGTACATTCTTAAAGGTTCCGTACGTTTAAGACCCGTCAAGCATCAGAAAAGAAAACGGTTCCATTACAGTAAAACGTAAAAAATGATAAATAAAATAAATAGTTTTTTAAAAGTTTATTAAAGAAACGTAACGTGTTAAGTCACGTAAAAATCCACGGCTGCAAAACTCCTCGGTTATAGTTTACCTCTAGGGGCTAGGTATTCTCTAAGAAAGGAGACGGGTCATCGACTTCGATACGAGATAGGTCACGCCAAAGATCTACGCACCTTGAAGATACATTTCATGAAAAGCTTCAAGTTACATAGATTCATCTATCTTCTTCTCCTACCGACCTTACTTAGAAACTAGCCTAGCGCAAAATATCTTATAGCGTATTTGCAGAACATACCTTTTCATTTATTACGAAGCCTGTACAGAAAATCAACAAACATTAGGCATATAACCTACGAAAGGAAAAGTGATGAAAGAATAAATTTCTACCTAGGTAGTTATTCGAATCTATCTATCTGGAGCCAATTCAGCACGCGTTTAAGCTGGCAACAGTGACCATCTAAGCTACCAGTAAGATGGTGCAACAACATTGACATAGGTATAGACAATTCGTGTGCTTTATCTTCCAAAATCAAGTCCAGTAGAAAGTGGCAGTAAATATAATTTTTATATATATGATAAACGACAGATCCGCCATTTATTTATCTACACCAGCGTTAGTTAGGTGTATATAGGGAGTGAAAGAGGGATTTGGGAGGGAAATCAGAGAGCAAGGGATTTTCAAAAGCTCAAAGAGGCAAGCTTACTCGTCTTCTACTTCAGTATCAGGTTGATTCGATTTCAAGCCCATCTGTTCGCCCACTTCCTTCATGTTCAAACACCAGATCCCAACCGCCGAGGGCGGCGAAACTCTGACGCTGCGCCAACCAATCATCCTTTGCGCCAGCGGTGTCATAGTCTCAACCACTCGTCGAGGAATCTGGCAGTTTGCGTCGAATGGTGTTAAAACTCCCGGTATGATCATCAGCGCTAGCGCTCGGCGGTAGAAATCCGACGTGATATTTGCGCTGCCACGATGAACCATCTTGCCACTCAGCACCGCTGTATCTCCAGTTTTGAGATCGCTGAATAGAACCGGGTGCTCGGCATCGGGCTCACCTATTTCACCCCTCTTGTGACTGCCCCAGACATACTGAGTTCTCCCGTTCTCGGGTGTGAAGTCGGTCAAGGCCGTGAAGAAATTCAGCATGCCCTCGGCAGTTCCAGGGCCAGATCGGAGTAGCGGATAGTTTGGCTGATCACGATGCCAAGACTGTTCCTTCGTACCTGGACCGTTCTCAATAACTGCGCTGTATCCCAGCCAGTAGTCGCCGGAGTCTGCAAAAGCCAGAGTGCAAAGCTGGTGCATTAATTCGTGGTTGAGAACTCCGTGGCGAAAGACCCGACTGAAGTCTACGAGATTATGCACCCGCTGGACATACTGTGGGATGAGCTCAGCCATCCAAAACGTAGACTGGCCCTCTTTGAATGACTTCTCGAGCTTTCCATTCTCCCTCATCGCGACCAGTGGATCATTAACATCTGCGTTTAGCTTATCTACCTGTTTATGAGATAGAAAGCCTTCGATAATAACGACCCCGTCATCCGCAAGAGCTTTGTACACCGCAGCACCATCTGAGGTGACAGGGAACCGCTGAATCTTGGGTTGGGGGTGAGACGGTGTGGTCATGGTGAATCGATTCAAGAATGATATATGATAAATAGGTAAAAACGGCGTATATCTTAGGAATTGTGCCTAGTGATGCTTAATGGACTGCTGCGAGTCGGGGGCGTTGGGATGAGTGATCGAGAAGCACGACTTGGGCAATAGGTAGTAACTCTACGACTTAAATTCGAACTCGTAACAAGGCACTTAGCCTATCTTAACGTTCAAACCACTCTAGGACTTTTCGACGAGATAACGTTACAAACGTTGTACGAATATTTTACGGTTCTATAAGTTCATGACTTCCATATGTTGTTTCCTATAAAAGCGATTAGATATATATTAGGTCCAATAAGAATATTTTGAAAATTAATATAATTAAAAGTTCTACTTCGAACAAGTCAAGTGAGCTGTATAGAACCCACGTTACATCAGACACTTAAGTTATGATTAAAGAAAATGTGAGTAAACTCCTATAGGTCAATGAAATATGAATGATACTATATGCAGATATCAAAAGGGGAAATAGAATGCACTTCGTGGAAGCTGAAAATAAAGTCATACGTTTTGTCGTTGAAACAGAGTCAAGTCAAAGTACCGTGCCCGACTTTGTGAGGGGTATTAGGATGTTTGTCATTGTTCTAAACTCGATGTAACTACCTATCTATACCAATATCATGAGCCCAGAAGGCTAAGAAAGTTACGAAACTGAAAGAACAAGTGATAAATACATGCGTAACTACCTAATGCATATATCTCATAAGATAACGGCGTATTGAAAGCCAATTGGATAGTATGAGTTTTATAGATGACGATTTTACTTTTCAGCTAGTCTTTTCTATACCATTGTTGCGCAAATAAGCTCAATGGAGATACCTGCATGGATTTGAGGATATTTGTTTTGGCTATTGATATGCAGGTCTACGGACCTGGAGGTCCCCGGGTACAGTACACTACTCTGGGGTAGGTAGGCATACATGTTTTACGCTTGTATATGCATATTGCATGTATAGGAGCGATATCGACTGGACTGATCGCCGATCTTATATGCACCCCATCTTGGGGTGGGTTAGCTTTAGTAATGGGTCTTGTGAGCTCTACAGCACCCATACTCGATATCGGCTATCACGATGTCTTACGCCGTTTCGAAGCTAGGTCTCGATATTTATATGCTCTGCTTTCTTGACTCCTTTCGATTTCTTTCTATCCGACAGTCCAGCAAAACCTACCAACACATCTTTAGTATTCATTGTACACTCATCTCTTCTGTTTAGCTGTCACCATGACTCCCCCACTTAACATCGTCCGTCAAATCTTGGAAACGCAGATGCTTTCCCAACTTGACCCCGTCCACGATGCGAAGGTCAAAAGTGGCTCTGTCCAGCATGGAAATCTGGAAGACCACCTTGCTGAGAACGTCAACTTCCAAATTGTTAGTGAGGCCGCTGATATCTCCCGCCAGCTTAATGGCCGCGACGCGGTGAAGTCTTTGTCCTCCTCCAACTCTGGCCCTTCTCTTCACAAACTCATTGATAACACCAAACCTTACGAGACGGAGATTGTGCACTTGATCGGAAGTGAGCAGTCCCCATGGGTGGCGGCTGTTCTTCGAAACACTGCTACTACTAAAACAGGTATGTTCATTTTGTTAATTATCTACCATAGATGCTAAGACTGAACATTCATCCAGGTCAGCCATTCAAACATGAATGGGTCGTGCTCCTTGAGTTTGACAACCAGGACCATATCTCAACTCTGAAGGTCTACCCAGACTCTCACAACCTCCAGAATCACGCTGCCAACTTCTAGATAGACATTAGAGTGGAGCTTTGTACACCTATTTATGGTTGTACTAAGAAGTTTGAATCCGACAGCAAAGCTGAATTATGATATTTGACTGCTTATTGGGCTTGGGTTACGATTTGGAACATTTTATCCATTCATTCGTTTTGTTCTGCCAATTAGCTAGACGTAGCTTACAGGTATCCCAATCATTATGATTTGCGTTATCATTGGTGTTGTTGTCAGGTGTACGATGTTCCTTAGTTCCCCTAGAATACACTAGACTAGCATAAGATCGGTAAGGTCCACATTAGTACTATTAGTCCCCGACCAGACATAGATGCCGTAGGTAGGTATGTTTAAATACCTCGAGGAAGCCCGCCCTGCTTCTAGAGTGTAGAATAAGGGTAGTCAAGTCTAGCGATTCAACATAATGACTGTGTGCCAAGTATCTACTAGGGCTCTGCCCACTATCATTGACATCCGCCATTCGAAATTCGAGCGTTCCATTCGCGACCAAGTTATTGATGGTCTTACTAAAGAACCAAAGACACTCCCAGCCCTACTATTTTACAGCACGGAGGGACTACGACATTGGAATAATCATTCCCATCAACCAGACTTCTACCCCAGGTCTGAAGAGGTCCGCATCTTGAAGGAAAAAGCTCAGGAGATAGCATCTACGATTGCTGACCATAGTGTGGTGGTAGACATGGGAAGCGCGTGAGTTTTCTAAGAACGAAATCCTTGAGCTATCCCATCCTAATGTCGGCAATCGGCTAATAATTTATTCCTTACATCCATGATCAGAAGCCTCGACAAAGTCATTTATCTCCTACGTGCCCTAGAAGCTCAAATGAAGACCATCAGCTACTACGCCCTCGATCTTAGTGCTACAGAGCTTACATCAACTCTACAAGCTATCCCGACTGAGGAATTTCGCTATGTTCGCTTCTCGGCACTTTGTGGAACATTTGATGATGGATTACGATGGCTTAAGGAGACTCCGATGATCCGCGACCTGCCACAACATATGTTTTTGTTCGGTCTAACAATTGGCAACTACTCCAGGCCCAACGCCGTAGCTTTCTTGAATCAAATTGCCGAGAATATATTGGATGGGGAAGCTTCACAAATTTCTTCTATTCTCATTACCGTCGATCATTGTAAGCTTCCCACAAAGGTTCTACGGGCCTATACTAGTGATGGAGTGGTACCTTTTGCGCTAGAGGCATTGAACTATGGCAACCAACTCTTAGGGGAGCGAAACGATGGAAGAGAACTGTTTAATCTCAATGATTGGTATTTCCACAGTGAGTGGAACTACGTTTTGAGTCGGCATGAGGCATCGTTGATTCCGCGTTGTTCGGACATCAAACTTGGACCTCCTCTGGATGGAGTGGTAGTAAAACGGGAAGAGAAGATTCGGTTCGGTTGTAGTTACAAATACGACGCTAAGGACATGGAAGATCTTGTTTTAGCATCAGGGTTGAGGACTACAAGGACTTGGGAGGGTGACGGATGCGACATCGTTTTTTACGAGCTCAAGTTGAAGGAGAAGACTACTTGATATTGTCTAATAATCTGAAGTTGGTGGTTGCATTCGGACCAATTCGGAGTTTAGAACAACTACATGAGATAACCCTAGGCTTTTTAATTGAGGTCTTACGGTCCTCTACTTGGCAGGCCCAGGTTTGGAAAATGAAGTACCCGGGGTTTGTAGCTGTCCATCCTTTCTCGATTAGTCAGTCATCCTTACCCGCAGGTAGCGACGCAGATGATTCAGAGTTCCTATCCGATTGAATACTATTATGACTGGAAGTTTTTTTTTTCTCGTTAGAGCAGAGTTAACAGAACCAATCTAACACTTACATTTGTTTTCTTGATAATAAGATCCGGCCCCGAGATCTATGAGTCAGGAAACCGTATGTAGTTAAAAGAGTGGGGCTCCGGGACCCCGAAAGAAAAGGGGGAGGGGTGTGGAGAAGGACGGGGTATCATTGGTGTTACATAAATTTGGTGTACGATTCATATGTAGGTAGGTAGGTACCTATCCAAGTACAGAAACTCAGCTAGAAGCGCTGTAAATATTCAATATATTTGAGGTATTTTATTTATCTCATATGCTACTATTAAAAATCCCGAATGGCCTTTCCCCTCAATTATCTGTCTGCACCTATCGTCCAATGGTCTAGAAAGCCCGTTATGTAAGAGATAGGTAGCCTGCATACCTACGGCTCTAATCGCATGACTCGAAGAGGGGGAAAGCGACAGCTTCGGATAATCCATAGCGACGACGAGCTGAAAGATATGCATCAGCACTCAAAGCATACAATTACCCAAGGTTAGCTGCAGGAAACTTACCACTGGACCAATTACCAGTCTCGAAGCTCTGAAGATATACGCCGAGGTACGGCCTATTCTTGCGATAGGAGAATGAGATGTATGCATGAAGACAGTTTAACGACGCGTGATCTTCCTCTGGGCTATCGATTGGAATGTCGATTAGTACATCGCAATGAGGTTATTTCGGGGAAAGATGACATACTAGTACGCTTTGAGGCTGTCCTTGTACTTCTCAGCCATGTCAGTCCACCCCCGCCGTGTAAAGAACGTCGTTAGCGCGTTGGCCACGGCCATGTCGTTCATCCCAAACACGCAAAAGTACACTTGAGGCTCTGGGACGTGTTTGTTAGGCAAAAGAGTATAGTTTGCCATACCAGGCAACAATTCGTCGGGGCTCGCTCCTAGTGGAAGATACCCTTGGGGATACGACCGTACACCGGTAGGGATCTGAAGCAGATCCCACAATTCTTGGATCATGTCGAATCCGGTGAGAGTACCCTGATCGTTTCGTCGCCCACCGAGTGTCCACAGGTCCTTTATTGCAGGAAGAGAGACAACCTGTTCCGAAATGTAGATCTTGATGCGTGACTTGGCAGAACCAACCAGATCGCAGGATAAAAGGCGTGCACAGGCTGTACTCTGCGGACCGCGGGATTCGACATAGTCTTCTAGCACTGTCAGGGATGGTGCGAGATTCGTATGCTTCTCGGCTAACTTGCGAACGGAGCCAAAAATTAATTCTTGTACGGTTTTTCCCGTGGCGATCCCCTTGAGCCTAGGGTAGATGTAAGTCTTGACGGAAAACTTGTCGCCTTTCAAATCCAGGGCTAACTTGTTTTGGGTCCAGATATCAACTCCCACTGGAGGACTACGATGTAGGAAAGTGGATTCCTGCACATTCAGAGTTAACTCCCTCTTGAAATGGTCGAAGTACTCAAGATCAATCCCGGGGTGGACGGTCATCAGCTGGTGTAGACTCTCCATGATAGCACGAGAATTGAAAGGATCACCCTCTGTGCCCGTCTCGGAGTTGATAGGCTCGAAGGTATACCGTACAATCGAGTCCGAGCAATTGATACTTAGCTCAAACGGTGTGCCGTAACGGGTGAGAATACTTAGCCAACGAATACGGTCATTTGTTGGATAGATACCCAAGAATGGAATCACATGCTTCTTGTAGATAGTAAGGTGTCTATATTGAGCATGCACGTCGTAGTTCGCAACTTGTAGCATCTCGGCAAACATAGGTGCTGTGCTATGCCACCAGAGCCTCTGGTCGTTATTGGGGAAGTCGAAACCATCGCTAAGAATTCTGTACACCTTTTGTTGGGATGCGTTGAGATATTTTTCCACGGACATCTTGATATTGTAGATTATGTTGGCTTTGGTTAGGTGCCTACCTCCCAACGTACGCATTATAGTGAAAGGCGTTTTCGTACTTTATATATTCGCAGTTCCACTTTTTACTACAGAGTAGTCTCACTTTTTCTATGGAATATTCTATCCCCAATGGAGTGTACGTGATCCTTGGGAAATATTAACCCGATAGTTTGGTTTCGAATATTCACTTTCATTAATTCACCTGAGAAAAGTAATCCGAAGGAGATTGGATTGAGCGATGCTAAACAACAGATACTATATCTTGAGATGATCAGAAATCGCCTCTAGTCCTCGATACACCCAACTTCCTACCTTCTTTCTACACATGCCCTCATCATCCCATAAATCGCTACCAACTCCTTTCTTAGTCACAAAAAGTCCATCCTTATCCACGCCGTGCTTAATATGAGCCAGATGCTCGTAATTATCACCCCAATAGACGTTTCGAAAATCTCCTTCACCAGGATCTCCTAGATTAAAATAGGAAACTTTGAATCCTGGTTCTATAGAGTACAGAATAGGCATATGAACACTACTCAACTCCTCTAAGCCTCTTAACTTCTCATGAACCGTCGGGCCAACGCTTTTGATGTAATTTATAAGCTGCGCTGAAGAGCGCCAGGCGGGGTGCATAGATGTGGAGTCACCTTTGATATTAACCTTACCACCCAGGTTGCTAGTGAAAAGGATGTCATTTGGACTCAGGGGGAGTCTAGAAAATACTTCAACCATCCGCGCCGGCCCCTCTGGCGAGTTGAACAGTTGATCGGATACTAGTACGGATGCCTGAATGATACCGTAATTTTCGGGGTAGATATCAGGAGTCATTCGATAGCTGAGGCTAGTTTTGGATAAGACTTTGGATGATAGCTCGTAGGATACTTCGCTGGCCGTGTACATAGTTAGATATTTCATTATCTTCCCCTCCACGGTATATATGTTAGTGTTGTTAATGAAGTGTATGGTCAAATCTGCCTTGAGCGTTGACTTTGGGGTGACTGTAAGGACAAACTGGCCGGGGGTATTGTCAAGGTTAAGGGCTTGAAGCATTGAGAAAAGACCGACGATCCCCTTTTCCCAGAAACTATGATCCGTGTGTGGCGTAGAAAGCGACACTGTCGATACTGTGACGGGATCATCAGAGTATACTCGGAGTGTTGCCTGTGTGACAACGCCGAATGTGCTGCCTCCGCCTCCCCGTAAAGCCCAAAATAGATCTTGGTTCTTGTGGTCATTCGCAGTCACAAGACTTCCCTATCATGATGTCAAAACATACAATTAGGATCGACTCGAGTATAGTCAAGATGTATGAGGACAACGGAAGACGAAACTTTACATTGGCTAACACGATCTGGAATTCCAACACATTATCGACAGCAAGTCCCCTCGCATGACTTAGAAAGCTGGACACACCGCCTCCTTGGAGAAAGCCACCGATGGCTCCTACTGTAGGACATTCTCCGCCAACTGTGATGTATCCATCCCGAGAGCCTCTTTCGTAGAGCTCCCAGTGCATGACACCAGCGCCAACTGTAACAGCAGGGCCTAAGGATGTGTTCACACCTTGTGCTACGAAGTCGGGATGATACTGAATCCCCTTAAGGTGATGAGTGTGGATTTGAAGCGAATTCGGGGCGGCCGAACGCCCAGAACCGTCATGGCCGGTATTCTTGACGACCAATCGTATATTGTGTGCCTTGGCGAAGAGAACAACCTTCTGTACATGGTCTGGAGATCTCACAGCGGCTGAGTAGTAGGGAACACGGCCTTGGTGACATGGTGCTTCGCTTGGCCCATCAACAACGGGACAAGTCTGATTTGCAGACAACCCTCCTTCCCAGACCCAATCTTGTAAAGTATCTATATTAAATTTGTGTAAGCGTCTAGTACTTACGACAACTTGATGGAAACCAACCTGGTCGAGAAGCTCTCCAACCGCTATCCCGAGTTAGGTGCAGCAATTCATCACAAGCTCTCCTATCAAAGTTTGGGTGATGACAAACATGGCCCGCAGGCCTCAAACGCACAAGATTCCCATTGATGGAAATATTCAGCTGCGACCATGCTTCATCAGATGGCCAACAGGATTCCGAGGGCCGACACCGACATGACAAACGAGGGGTCGTAAGATTTACGGCGCGCCAGCCGAGCAGTCCAACTAAGGCAGCAAGAAAGTAGTATTGCATATTATTTATTTATTTATTTTTTCCCGTAAGAAAGGTAACCTTTTAATTAAGTGATCCTTGCTACGGGCTTGCGGGCTTGATATATTGCATGAGGGCGTGAGGACCGCCGCGTGATACTTCATATCATTGGTGTATAGACATTAATGACTAATGCGACACAACTAATGAGTTCTTTGTCATATCAGCGCTTGTAGTCTCATTCTAGAGTCCTTCCTATAATCAACGCGATGCTGTATGCTATGACGTTCAGCTGCTATCAGTCGCGGATCTTAACCAACAACGGGTTTTACATGCAAGGCTCTGCATTTGATTGATTAGATTCGAGAATTCTAGAACCTATTCTTGGCGTTACTACAGATTTCTAAAGTTTAGTAGAATACTACGTCTGGTTTCTGCAATGTAACACCATTCGCGAGCTGAAACGGCGTTTCATTGAGCTCTACTATCCCCAGTATAGTGCGTAAACCCGGTTCAAGACCCGTTACCCCATCTGGGCATGCACTTATACAAGATAGAGCAGGTAAGGTAACTTACCCAACTAGGTATGTACCTATTTAGGATAGAAAATCATATCAAAGACATATCGACATTGGCGCATGTCTGACTTATCCATCAACTCTCAGGGGAAACAAGCAGAGATGTCTAAGAAATTTCTTTCAGATCAAGAAGAATTCGTAGTCAGACCATGGCTTCAGTATCTCCTACTTGCACTGGTAGTTGTCTTAGCACCTACTGTGATCACTATCTTTCACCGAATCTATATACATCCACTCCGAAAGATCCCAGGGCCGACTCTGGCAGCGGCAAGCGACTTCTATGGATTCTATCACAATTTTTTCAAAGGGGGAGGATATTCAAAACGATTTCGGGACTTCCACGTCAGATATGGTCTGTATATGCCCGAATTGAGTCGATCAACTATCTTTTTGGACTTCCTAAATAACCATTGAAAGGTTCGCCGGTCATCCGCATTGGTCCGAACCATGTTCATGTGAATAGCCCGGAGTTCTTTGAGGAGTATGAATACCAGCTCCGTATCTTGCCAACTTTATGCGCAACACTGACAAAAATCCCCTAGAGTCTTTCATATAGGATCGAAGTACAGTAAAGATCCAGCATTCTATAAGAACTTTGGGGGTATAGATAGCATGCTAGATCCTGAAGACTTTCGTACATATCGCACCCACATATCACCTTTGTACTCAGCTAGGTCTGCCGACGGTCTTACACCGAGACTGCTGACAGAACTTCAAGCAATTGGAAAACGACTAGAGCAAAATGTAGGGACGGGCGCAGTCGTAAATATTCAAAAATTGTTTCGAACCTTGAGCGTAAGATCCCATATAATGGCTCTATTCTGGCAGAGACTAATTGATGAGGTAGGCAGATATGGTTCTGCGATTACTTTTCCCGCAAGGGATCAACCTCTTCGAGTTTGACGGTTATCATCCCTTTTTAGACGCTTTTGATACGATTATGACTAAGACATGGCTGAGCGAGTATCCCGGTTTCCTAGCACCTTGTAATTACCAAAACAGAGCTAATACAATATTCAGTGCTCACCTATCCTCTTGTCGGCATGCTTCTTGGCCTTATCCCTGGGTCAAGTTTTGCCAAGGTCAATTTGGCGTACGGACAGTTCACTAAGGCAAGTTGAAGTCACCTCACGATTAAGTTTAAAGCCTGAAATAACAGTTACAACCAACAGTATTGCGAAGGATGGGCAAACGACGCTCAACTGCTTCGAGCCACGAAAAAGGAACGAGTGCGCGATTCTCATATGACTCGATATTTAGATATAGACCCGACCGAACGTCAAAAGGCCAAGGCTATTATTCATCCATTAGAAGATGTTTTCAACTTTGTTGCGGGAGGTAGCGATACTACAGCATACACAATGTCCTGTGCTGTCCACTATTTACTCAACTCTCCAGGCGCTCTTACCAAGCTCCAGGCCGAGCTTGACCAGTCTTCCCGTTTTATCAGGGGGGACTTTGACCACAAAAAAGTCCAGAAACTCCCATATTTGGTACGTTTTTGGTCCTAATGTTTATCTATTGATGGGATTAGAGTGCGATAGTATCCGAAAAAAAAAATTTCTCTGACCAGATATGTCTATAGAATGCAGTGATTAAGGAGAGTCTACGTCTCTCTAGTCCTGTGCCGGGATGTCTTCCCCGGATAGTTCCAAGCGGCGGCGCTCGCGTGGGGTCTATCTACATTCCCGCCGGTGTAAGTTATTCAACTCATACAATCATGAACCATTTCATATTATAGATCATTTCTAATCGAACGAAATAGACGGCCGTATCAGTAAGCCTATTATGCCTCCAACAGAATGAAAAGCTGTTTCCGGAGCCCCAAAAGTTTAGGCCTGAGCGATGGCTGGGCGAAGAGGGGAAGCTTATTGAGAAGTGGAACATCGCATTTAGTCGAGGGCCTCGTCAGTGCGTCGGTACCAAGTAAGTTACATTCGATTCAAAACAGAAAGAAATATTACGTTGGCTAAATGGGTCATCTTCTACTATAGTATTGCCTATCTTGAGTTACATTCTTGCCTTGCTTATCTCTTTTCTCATTTTGAGCTTGCTCTTCCCAGCGACGGCAAGAATCAATTGAATTGGGTTGACCGTTTCGTTGCGACAAATGTAAAGGAAGTGGGGATTATTGTTGTGAAGAACCGATGGATTTAAAGACGTTGCCTGATTGCGTCTCTAGAATTTCTATGACGATATCCTCTTATCCACTTGACGGGTGACTTAGCGCAATACATTCTACGACGCTCATTTTTGTTCCCTTTCGTGAAATGAACAAGGCCATACCTGACGTGATGTTTGTGCTTTATTTACCTAAAGTTGGATTAATTTGCTCCCTTGGGATCTAACTACGAGGTACGAAAGGTTGAGGCCAAAAGTAATGCACATCTGAAAGGATTGCACGGTCTTTTTGAATTACATTGGCTGACATCGCTATAAGTATAGCGGTATGTCACCTGAATTTAGTGGACAGGTCGCTACCTATCCAACCTTTAGTTTTAGGGATGGGAAAAATATAATATCACTAGCGTATAATACGGTATAATATTATATAATACCGCATAATTGATCAATTATGCGCATAGTCGGAGCGCGGATTTCATTTATCCGACACACTAATATATATAGGGATGGCGCCATATCTTATTTTGTATTAACGCTATATGATTAAGTATAAAAGGTGATTACTTAATGATTTAATTATAAAATGCGTATTATACGCATTTAATGCATTATACGTATAATATCGCATAATTGATCAATTATGCGCATTAAACCCATGCCTATTTAGTTTAGCGTGTGGCTAATACAGTATCAATTAATCAAAAATGGTACGGAATACTGTGCTAAGATCTGGACATTTTAGCCCCAGCCCTCATAACTTTATGCACTATTCCAGACCCAGGCCGCTCTGTTACGAACTGCAAAATCTTTGAAACACACTGGGGGGGTGCCCGTTACCTCTTCTACAACATGATTTAGCCTCTCTTCCACTCCGTCCTTTACCATACTGTCCATTTCAGCTAGCATTTTGGCGTCTTCAGTAGGCATGCCCGTAGACTCTAGCATTTTAACCAACTCCTCTCCGGACATCTTCACATGGGTAATCTGTCTCTGAAGTGTAGATGAAAGAATCGTCGCAATCTAACATGTACGCAAGTCAGCTTCAACGGATCATGTTTTTCTCAGATTAGGGGAAGGGCCTAGGGGACTTTACATCATCATATGTGATTAGGTCAGGACCCACGATGATATGTTCCGTGTTTTGGATCTTTTCGCCTGTCAACGCACAAAATCCCACTCGAGCAATATCATCCGCTGAGACGAACGGAAGTTTGCCGTCTCCGGTGGCAGAGTAGATTTTGTTCTCCTTTTTGATAGATATATTTTGTTGCTCATTGTCGCAAGAGAAATTCTCTGCAATATTTCATTAATACTGGTCGAATAAATTAGATTGGGAAGTTATACCCATAAACCATGTTGGTCTCAAGACAGCATATTCTATTTTGTTTAGTAAGTCAAGATGCTGGTGGACCTGCCCCATTGCCGGCCCCCCTTTTTCAATTGTGCTTGCACTAAGAAGCACGAACCTCTTCACATCTCTTTTAATGGCAAAGTCCACGAAACTAATCATACGTGGAGCTAAATCAGAAATTGGAGGTGGAACAAGATAAACCGTAGAGATTGGTGCTATGCCCTTGGCTAAAGCCTCATCAAAGGGATTTTCATAGGTATCAGGCTTGGTCCAGTCGAATACTGCCTGGTGATATGGGCTGTTTGGAGTGGTTGAGCGGGATGCTACAAGAAAAGGACGACCCGCATCATGAAGCAAAGAAGCAATGCGACTAGCAGTCTTCCCTCGACCACCAAGCAATAGAATACTCATAGTAACAAGTGGGAAAAAAGAATCAACTTTACTCCTAATTAACTCACTATGCATGGACGGCAAGGAACCCTTGGGGGACAGGCCTATTATCAGCTCATAATACAGGGTAGTAGCTAGTCGGCTGGAACCGAAATACTACTAGCTACCTCTTAGAATTACCTGATCAAAAAGAAAACTAATTGGTTATTAAAGGTTACTAAATATTACCAAGGCTTAATAACGCAATGATGTTATCCCAAGTCAAACATATGATAGAATTTAACTACTTGATGCTTCTTAACCGAGTTGTGAGTTATGGAGGTAATGCACATATTGAAGTCCGCGAATGTCGACGGAAAATGGTAATTGAGGCTTAAAATTATGCGGGGGGAATCCCGATGCAACTCAACTAAGTTGACAGCTGAAGAGGCTTCGAGGCTAAGAAATCCTCGCAAAATGGATAGTCCAAGTAACCCTTGTCCGAAAACGGTATGTAAAATGTATCACGATCATACTGTTGCAGTGGTACTCCATGCTTCATGCGAAAGGGAAGATCAGGGTTCGAAATAAACAACCGACCAAGTACAACAGCCACATTATCGTACCCTGCATACGTCTCGTCAACGACGCGTTTAGCTGAGATTGCATCATAACCCCCTGCCAGGAGGACCGGCTTCGACTTTCCCCACATATGCACGAACGTCTCATTGTCGGCGTCCGGGTGCGTTACGTCTTCCACCCATCTTGAATTGGCCAGATGCAGATATGCAATGTCCATCTCACGCAGATAGCTGATCACATGTTCAAACTGAGCTGTCAGGTCGCTCATGGTACCCATTCCCTGGAACGTACTCCAGGGAGAGAGCTTCATGCCGACGCGATCAGCACCGATGGCATCCACAATTCTGCGCGTTATCTCCAGTCCAAATTGAGACCGTTTTTGGATACTCCCACCCCACTCGTCGTTTCGTTGATTGCATGACGCTTGGAAAAATTGGTCAATCAGAAATCCATTTGCTCCATGGATCTCGACGCCGTCAAATCCCGCAATAATGGAATTCTTGGCGGCCTGTACGTGCTCGTTGATGTAGGTCTCGATCTCTGACGCCGTCAATTCCCGTGGAGTGGGTTCATCCGGACCAACTGGAACTGCGCTGCTGGAAGTGAGGTCGAATCCATTGGCAGCTAATACTTCAGCTTCAGAACTGCGTCCTGTGGCCCACAATTGGAGCCAGATGTAGGACCCTTTGGAGTGAACTGCGTCAACAATCTCTTTCCATGCGTGAATTTGTTCAGCTTTCCAGATTCCGGGAACATTAGAAAACCCCTTGGCCTGAGGGGAGATGGCCGTCGCCTCCGTAATCAACAAAGTACCTGGAATAGACGCACGTTGCGTATAGTACTCTTTGACAAACGGTAAGGGCACAGCGGAATCATCGGCACGAAACCGTGTCATGGGGGAAAGAACCAGTTTGTGCTCCAGTACGCATCGCCCAAGCTTAAGGGGCTTAAAGAGACTCGATGAATCATCCATCTTGGCCTCCAAGATTAATCGGCGATGAATATGATACGTACTCGAAAGAGACTTATAGCAAAGCTGAGAACTATCTTTCTTAAACTATCATTAAGTAATATTAACTCTGTCGTCAAAGATAAATAATAGAATGGCATATGGAAACGGGAATTCAAGGCTATATTTGTACCTATTCTCAATTGTTGTATAGGTAAGCAGGGGTGCCAAAGTCTCTTCAGCCATTGCAACTTAGGGCATTCACAAATAGCTGAGGCACACCAGGTTCATCAAGAGTTCAATGAAGCTAAACGTAAAACTGTCAGTTCTACCTACTTGTTTTACTATAAAAATATAACACGTATAGGGTCAGTATATCAAACGTAAACGTTACTATATTACGTATTATTCCACAGAAGCATACCTAGGAAGTGAACTCCTGAATATTTATAACAAGTACCTATTCAAACAACTTCTGTGAGATAATCTAAGTATCAGTCCAATTCGTAACCCAACATGGCGTCCGTGTCTTACAAGATATTTGCCGTAACAGGCGGGGCATCTGGCATTGGTGCGGCGACATGCCAACTACTCGCTCAGCGTGGAGCCTCCGTGATCTGCATTGGCGACATATCAAGCCAAGGTTTCAATAGTATCACCCAACTTATCCAGGAGACAAATCCATCAACTAAGGTTCAATGTACCGTGCTAGACGTGGCGTCCTCTACCGACGTCGAGGAGTGGGTAGCAACTATCATTACCACCTTTGGAAACCTTCACGGGGCAGCCAACATCGCCGGCATTGCACAAAGAGAGGAATCACGAAATTCTCCGGCTATTGCAGAAGAGACAGACGAAGAATGGGCTAGAATCATGAGGGTCAACTTGGATGGAGTGTTTCATTGCACGCGAGCTGAGGTACGAGCGATGAAGGATCTTTCCGTATGCGACCGCAGCATTGTGAATGTGGCAAGCATTGCAGCATTCTATCACATTCCAGATGTCTTTGCATATGGAACTTCCAAGGGTGCATGCATATACTTCACGGCCTGCGTAGCTGCAGATACGTTTCCCCTCGGAATCCGCGTCAATAGTGTTTCTCCAGGTGAATATACCATCTAGTGCTGAAGATTCTCGTTTTAAGCTAACGGGACTGTATAGGAATCACCAACACCCCGCTGCTGCCGCAGTTTCAGCCTACATCGGACAGCATTGGTGACATCAAGGTGTCTTATCAGGAAAAGGGGTTCTCGGTAATTGAGCCACATGATGTGGCCAGAACAATCGTATGGCTACTAAGCGAGGATTCACGCCCGGTATATGGGGCTAATATTAATGTAGGCTCATGCATGCCCTAGTTAGGTGCTTACTTTATTCAGTAATGTCTTTTAAAATCTTATAGTAGGAGGCACATCCTTTATACGTGGGGGTAACGTAACGTTCAATACACTCAGGTGACATGGTATCAGCACTCGACTACCTAGACCATCTGCCGTTATGGGTGGTGTTAGGTTCGGCGGCATCAATATGATCTTGGACGTACGCCGGACGACAAGCTTGCCTCACGTTCGTTAGTTCGGCAGCCATCAACTCCTCCGTGCTACGGTTAAGTGAATGTCAACCATGGCAGATGCGGCCCCATCCAGAGTATACGGCCAACTTACCCCAGTCGAGCTGGAATTATGCCTGCTGATGCATGCGTCTTAACTTTGGTGGCAAAGTGAGACTATGATGAGCAGGCTAGATATCCTCCATCGTGCTTAGGAAGTAGAACTGAATTCCACTGCGAAGTAGATAGTGGGATAAACGTAACCATCGACTATCAAGCGTTAATCTAGTCAACTATCCTATCATGATCATATTCGAGAAAGCGATGTCTGTTGGGGTAACCGATGCTGTGATAGAGGAATCAAAACCTCCTCCCCTAAGTGATTTCGACAAGACAAGAATATGTACGTGGAACAAAGACCCGCCTGTTCAAAACCGCCATTGCCTGAGCACACTCATCCATGAACAGTGCTTGTCACAGCCAAAAGCACTCGCAGTATGTGCATGGGATGGCGAACTCAACTATGTAGAGCTAGAAGACCTCTCATCAGCACTTGCCCAGCACTTAATAGCGCTGGGCGTTGGCCGGGATGTGTTTGTGCCTCTTTGCTTTGAGAAATCGCGATGGACGACTGTCGCTATACTTGGGATAATCAAGGCTGGCGGTGCATTTGTCCTGCTAGACCCATCTCATCCAGAGGCTCGGCTCGTCGAGATCTGTCAGAAGATATCTGCGAAATTGATTATTTCTTCATCAAAACATGCTGAATTGGCCGCGCGTCTAATTACTACCGTCATCGAAATAAAAGACCAGAATTCAGAGTGGCTTGTTAGTGATGATCCATGGACTCCTTCACCAACGGCCCCTGAGGATGCTCTCTATGCCGTCTTTACCTCTGGTTCAACCGGTACCCCTAAAGGGGTAGTTAGCAACCATTCATCATTCGGCGCTGCGATCCATCCGTATACTCAAGCTGTTGAACTTGATGAAGAATCTCGAGTTTTCCAATTCGCCTCCTACGCATTTGACGTTACCATATTTGATATCCTCATGACTTTGATCAACGGTGGATGCATTTGCGTCCCCTCAGATGATGACCGCTGGGGCGATATCACAACGGCAATTCAACGAACTCAAGCCACCCACTGCAGCTTTACACCTACCGTTGCGCGAATCCTTGAACCAAAGAATTTCCCGACTTTGAGAACATTGGTCCTTGGTGGGGAGAAGCTCGAGATGGCCGATTTTGCCAGGTGGGTTGGCCATGTTCGAGTCCTCAATTTGTATGGCGCGTCTGAGTGCTCGATCATGTCAATCCAGCAGGTGGCTGGTGAGGTATCTGCTCTTCAGACGCTCAACTATGAGACAGGGAGTAGACGTTGGATTGTAGATCCAGATAACCATGATGTACTTCTGCCCATAGGAACCATCGGAGAACTAGTGATTGAAGGATGCATCGTAGGTCGTGGCTATATCGGCCCAGAGAACACAGCGGCCAAATTTATCCAACCTCCTATATGGTTACGCCAATTTAGAGGCCCCGAGTACTGTATCCCAGTGTACAAGAGCGGCGATCTCGCACAATACACCACTGATGGATCAGTTCGATTTATCGGGCGCAAGGACACACAAGTCAAGCTTCGAGGACAGCGCATCGAGCTCGGTGATGTAGAGCATCATATCCGGTTGGCGCTTCCCGACGCAAGAGACGTGGTCGCAGAGGTCGTAACTTTCCCTGATTCCTCAAGGCCTCCTACGCTCGTAGCTTTCATACACGCCAGAAATGATAGCGTCGTGAAGAGCGGCGGACACACGATAATGTCACCAAGACTCATTGACGGGCCTAGCGATTCATTCCGCTCCCGGGTTCCCTCCGTACAGTCTACGCTTCAACAATCGTTACCTTCTTACATGGTTCCTTCGGTCTTCCTCCCGTTAGAAAGCCTGCCATTGACTAGCACGGATAAGATAAACCGTAAGCTTTTACGGGAATCTGCAGCTGTATTATCAAAAGAAGAGCTAGAACAATACCAACCAACAACGACGGCTAGACGCATACCCTTAACAGATACGGAGAAGTTCTTGCATCGGTGTTTTTGCCGGGTACTTCGCCTGGAGCCAGATCAAGTTGGAGCTGAGGATCACTTTTTCCATCGAGGTGGAGATTCTCTTATGGCAATGGAGTTGGTGGCAATGGCTCGCAGAGACAAGTACATGCTTACTGTTCGCGACATATTTGAGCACCCTCAGTTGTCCGCTCTAGCGTGCGCCATCCAGTCCGGGGTAGACGAGGACGACGAAGCTCCTCCAACCCCATTTTCTCTAGTTGGTGGGCGGCGGGATGTGATCAGAGCTGCTGCTCAACAATGTTGCCTACCGATCCGGGCAATTGAAGATATCTACCCCTGTACGCCGCTTCAGTGCGGCCTTATGTCTGAGACAATGCGAGACCCTAAGGCATTTGTTGCGAATATTTCTCTTCCTTTGCCACGAGATATAGACCTTCCGCGTCTGAAAGCCTCGTGGCTAGCTGTAGCAGCTGCTCATCCAATTCTACGTACGAGGGTGGTTCTATCCCCTTCTCATGGCCTGCTGCAGGTAGTGGTCCGTGAGGATATTGAATGGACTGGATCGAAGAGCATTGGAGATCAAGATTTCAGTGTCGGTGTTGGGAAGCCACTGGTGCGGTTACACCTCTGTAGCTCACAGAACAATGACGATCAGACTTGTCTGCTTTTGAATATCCATCATGCTATCTACGATGGGTGGACTCTACCCCTGATCTTCAAGGAAGTCGATGCCGCATACCATGGAAGAACTCCGTTACCACGCCCTATTACTCCCTTTATTCGCTACCTACAGTCAACCTCCGATTCCACGCGTTATTGGAGTACTTTAGTGGAAGGCTTTCAGACTCCTGTATTTCCTCCTTTGCCTGACAAAGAACACAACCCATCTCCCAGAGCCATCATAAACACCACAATTAAGCCGTTAAGTCAGCACTCCAAGGATTTCACTCCGAACGCTTACGTGCGATTAGCGTGGGCGATCACTCAGGCTCAATGTCAAGGTACCAAGGATGTCTGCTTTGGGGTAGTGGTATCGGGTCGAAACGCACCAGTTGCCAACATTGAATCAATGACCATCCCGACCATTGCGGCAATCCCATACCGTATCGTATTATATCCCCAGCTTTCAGTGTATGATTCTCTTCTTAAGGTCCAATCCGATACGATCTCTGGTATCCCCTTTGAGCAATTTGGCCTCACTGAAATACGCCGATTAGGGGAAGATGCCATATTAGCATGTTCCTTCCAAACATTACTAGTGATGCAACCAGGAGAAGCCCCGAGTAAAATCTCGTGGATAGAAGAGATAGAGTCGGAGTTAGATTACCAGACAAACGCGACTTATGCCATTAGTCTGATTTGTAAGCCTGAGGGAAACAAAATGAAGGTTACAGTACTCTATAACCCCGATGTGGTGAAAGAAGATAAAATGCGGTGGATAATAACTAATTTCGGTGATGCCTTGCAAGTTTTGCATCAAAATCCCAGCAGCCAAATTAGAGATATACTTAACTCCTAGTAGTGAATAAAGAGCTTCATACACTTCATCTGAATTCACTGTGGTTATATGATGACTGAATAAGATAGGTATCTAAGTACCAAACCTAGAGGTTTACGCCAAAATCCATCATACTGAGTTGATTACAACTTGGAAGCCCCCATTTCTCCTCGTGAAACGACGGCCTTCTCACTAACAAGCTTCTCCGTACCTGTACGAACACGCTCTGAAAGGTCAGTAGCAACCAGTTCAAGTACTTCAAAAACTCTCTCCCTGATCTCTTTGTGCGTCTGGGCCAAAGACATTGACATATTCTCAACAATACTGTTTTGAAACTCGGGGCTTCGTAGCGTAGGCAACACCTTCCAGAATTCCCTCGGGAATTTGTAGTCTAGTTCGTTGACCTCTAGCCATGGCTTGGAGGATAATCTAGCCGTCCAAGTGTCAAACTCCATGTCAGACTCCTTTCGCTGCCTAAATTTCATAGGGTGATAATTCGTCACATGTCCCGGAATACGACCGTAGTTGGGCGTGCTTGTCGCTGCACCATCCCGGAGGAGAGGGTTGAAAGTGCATTTGGATCGATTGGCAGGCAATTGCTGGTTATTCACACCAAGGCGGTATCTTTGAGCATCGGGGTAAGCAAACATACGCGCTTGTAAGACAGGGTCTTCAGACGGTTCGACACCGGGGACGAGATGCGAAGGTGAGAATGCCAGCTGCTCGATCTCAGCAAAGTAATTTTCCGGATTGCGATTCAATGTCAATTTCCCAAATGGTCGCGATGGTATCACATCGATGTCTGGGGGATAATTCCCTAGGTTCCAATGCTTGGTGAGGTCGAGAATATCAAAACCGAGTTTGTGCACATCTTTGGGGTCTACCACTTGAACATTTGCCGTCCAGGTCGGGTAATCCCCTTCTTCGATCGCCTCAAAAAGGTCTCTTGTCGCGGAGTCGGGGTCCGTAGGAGATACGTCCTGGACTCTCCCGCCTTTAGTAAAATTTGGTCCGCGGTCGGAGGAAAGAAAGAAATGAACGTATTTCCAACTGCCGTCTGGCATGACCCATTTGTAGGCGTGTCCAACATACCCACTCATGCTACGATAATTGAACATGGTGCCAAACTCGCTATAAAGCCAGAGGACCATATGTAATGACTCGTGATTATTGCACACCCAATCCCACCATAGATTGGGGTTCACGAGGTTAGTCTGCGGGTCCCGGCGTTGAGCATGCATCATGCCAGGGAACTTGATGGGATCACGGATGAAGAACATGGGAATGTTCAAACACACCCAATCCCAGTTGCCCTGGTCTGTGAAAAACTTGACCGCCATGCCTTTGGGGTCTCGAACTGATTCAGCTGATCCACGTTCGAGACCCGTTGTAGAAAACCGAGTCACGCAAGGGGTCTTCTTGCCAACACCCAGCAGCATGTCGATCTTACATATGTCGGATATGTCATGGGTAACCTATTCCTCGGGTGTTAGTTATTTTCAGTGAAGGGGAAGGCGAAAAGTCGCCATTATACCTCAAACTCGCCATATGCACCCGCACCTTTGGCATGAACGGCGCGTTCCGGGATTTTCTCTCGATTAAAATGTGATAGGAGATCAATAAGGTGAAAATCCTTCAGCAGGAGATTATTTCCGTCTCGTTGAGAGCCCTCTGGTCTTATTGCTGGGCAGCCATTGGAAGTAGTGTAAATAGGGGCCTCAGTGGCCTTCGTGTCAAGAACCGGCTTGACGCGATTGTTCATGATGATGAAATAGTGTGGTAAATAAGAGTGAAAAGGGGGTGTAGCACCGACATGGCAGTAATATAGATACCTACGACGTGCTTTTTATATTATCATCAGTAGTATCATAAAAACCGATACTGGATTACGCAAGATATTACATTACAGGAAGCCATTCGAGTAGGTATATGCCTACGGTAGGTACCTACCTATGAGGTACGTATATGCAGACGTACTCGTTCGGGTTGGATGTCACCGTCGTAACCAAATAGGTACCTAGACTGTTTGTTGGGGGCCGAAGCTGAATGTGCTAGTCCCGTTCCAATCTTCAGGCATCTCAGCAAGGAAATAGCTATCGATTATTGAACAGGTCACAACCAATACAATCACTTCCATATAAGCGAAGAGTCAATTCTAAGCTGAGCATGGAACATACCTCATAAGACTTCGAATAAGCTCGTGCCTAAAGTAAATAGGATAACCAATGAAGCAAGGCCTTGAAATCCATACGCAATTAATCTTGTTAAAACATTAACAATGTTGGGACTACAGTCATGTGACCACATCACGTGATCATAGGGCCCACACACACCGCCCGCACAACGAACATAAATGTAGATACCTAAAGATTCCTCCCCACTCCGTAGATCTTTCTCCTTACACAATCAATCAATCAATCAGATCTCATCGTTTTCAGTCGTCTCGTCGTTTCTTACTTTCCTTTCATCTATTACCTAATCATACCAATTGTGTACACAATACCTTGTCACTCCAACAGACAAAACTTTAAGATTTTGTGTTTACCAGAGAATGACCTTGAGTTATCACGGAAAGCCATTCTTCGTACCACACCGACTTCTCTCCTTTTAGAGTTGTAAATAACTCACATAAGTATCCCCATCTTTGCCTTTTATACCCCGCAGTGTAGTGAATTGCATCCTCGAAGCATTTTTTGAATCGTTCGAGACGTACAACTTCCGATTGTAAAGCTATTCTCATCCCCGGTTCCATTACAGGGTCCATATGCCAATGTGTAACCTCGAGATCCTTACGAGCGAGATACCTCATCTCGTTTGCAAGCTCAGATTCATCACCTAGGACAGAACTCATCATAAGCCGCCAAGGCATTGTAACTCTTATTTCCGATCCATGGATGTGTCCTTCATAAGTATTCCGCAACGACCACCGGAGTTCTGAATGAACAACACAAGGTCTGTGTTTTCTGTGGATTTTAGGGGCGTTTTCACTTCGATCGAATGCTTGTTCCCACCAAAACTTTTCAAGGGGCTCTAAAGGCAAGAATCGACCTCCAATTCGTATTTGAGTGTCTCGCAACGGGATTTCCCCCAGTGGCGTGTCGCAAGTAACCGCGTATTTACTATCCCTTTTAACTTGGAAAACAACTTGTGTGTTATCTGGGGAAATGTGGGAGAATGGTATGGCTGATGTAATAAAAGCCATAGGATGAAAATCTTGCGCAGGGCCGCCGGCTAGCTTTACTGCATCAAAGCCACTCATAGGAAGGGCAAAGTAAAGTTTGTTGACAATGCGGGTTTTGAAAGCTCGCTCGGTCGCTTCCTGGAAGCTTCGTGAGACTATGCGACAATTCAACCAGGCCTTCCGGAAACTCTGGTGTTCCAAGCTCTCTATGATCATAATTTGAAGTTCAAATGGGAGTGAGTTCCACCCTGATGTCTTGGTCGACTCGTTCTTGGCCGGGTCATTGCTGACCTCGTGGTCAGCGTTAGCGTTTCCGGACATGCCCGACTTTGTGTTGCGTAAATCCCGGTGCTGCGTTGAGGTTTATGGATCTTGAAAGACTATGGGTGGCCTAGAGGTGTTGGGAGGATGATGGGATTGGTACATGAGAGCTATTCTTTGCGAGGTTGTCTGGGGGGGTTATATATGCATACCAACGTCCAACTTGTTACACGAACGCTTTATCCTATTTGGATTGTGGTAGGTAGTCAGGGACTGTTTGAGTCAGGAGAGAATCTATTCAATGACGGATTTCATCTCTTGTGACCTGTGTCAATACACACTCCCCATGTCTACCATACCTGTGCGCATGACGGTTACTCACTGGGTATTGGCGATGAGAATACCGGAGTAATAAGTGTGAATGAGTGTTGATAACTAAACCGAAACCAGGCATTATTATACAAGTCACGATATTGTTCTTCGCAATTACCACTTAATATCCATACATAGCTACCTAGTCAGTCAAATATCTTCACTACTTTCGCTTCCTGATTAAGCATAACTATCATGTTGAGTTGGCAACTCTTTTTTATCTTCACCTTGAAACAACTAAAACATCCTGTGCTGTTTTCTCCAGAAAGTAAATCATATATATTAACACAGCTAGTTAATAATATTTAAAACTACAAGTAGTTTCAAGTCTTGGTTTTATAGCTCCTCTTGCTGGATGTTAGATTCGGGAGTGACTTGTGCCACGCAACTCCAGCACTTCGCCTTAGCAGCATTTCCACAACTTGAATCGTACTGGGCTTTTCGTGGCCATGGGCAAATAATTCTATTTTGAGTCTCGCCCTTGGAATTGGAAAACGAAACTGGCGAACTGTCGGGCGCAATTCCATCTTCTACCCATGCCTGAAGCTGCGCGAAGAGGGAGTCTGGTTGGCCGGGACCGCCCAAGCAGTGTCCGAGACCGGGACTCTCGAAATAGCGAAAGAATTCACCGACGTTGTCAACATTCTTGGAGACTTCTTGGTAGTATTGCTCGGTGCCTTTAGGTGGTACGATAATGTCGGCCTGCGTTTAACACCCGAAGATTAGCATTCGAAGTTTCACAGCGAATAGCCGGGGTCCGTTTACCAGTCCGTGAAAAGATACCATCTTCCCTCCAGCCTTCTTAAACTCGGAAAGATCGGGGTCTTGTGTATCGATGATGGAGCCGTACTGTTGCCTACTTGCATGTAGGAAGCTCGAGAACTCATCCAAGGTGATGTTAGAGAGGTCGAAGTCGGGATCTTTCGCGATAAACAAGGTCAACCAATACCACCCCAAAGGATTAGAGTGTTCCATGGTACAATTGCCATTGGAACAATCCGTAGCTGCAACGCAATTTGGGATTTTTGTGTTGGGCGAATGACAGGTCAGATCACTTCCCGGGTTGATTCCATGCCACTATTATACAAGTAGTTAGGTAATGATAAAGGATCGGCTTCAAAGAGGTAGTCTGGACATATAAACCGGGCTGGAAGGGTAACTGTAGCTGTAAGGAAAAGAACTTTCGGATAGTACGCACGAGATGCTCTCCTGTTGAGGATACTATGCCTACCCATGCTGCCTTGGCTACTTTCGCCGCCGCCTTGGTGATATTCTTTGTCGTATCATCGCAAGCAATAGTCGTACCGACGAGGTCAAACGGACTAAAAAGCTTCCTGCACTCATCTACGTTCGCGATGATGCCATCTACTACACCGTCTAATCCGTCACATTTAGATACTGCTGCGGCGGTGATGGCATCCAGTTCGCACCAATGAGGGTATTCTTTCATCATTCGCATAACTTGCTCTGGCCAAAAGCTATTCAGCATCACATCTGACCAGTATATTGCCGGTGCGCCCGCAGAAATGCCATCGTAGGCCTTTGGAAACCTTTGAGCGAGCATGAAGCCCTGCCGGCCGCCCTGTGAGCATCCATTAAAATAAGAATATTTCGGAGGCTGGCCGTAGAAACTTTCCACGAGAGACTTTCCGATGATTGCCTGGGGTTGTACCTATTAGTTATATGTTTTGTAATCACGAGGATTCAATCAAGCTATACCTCGTCGTTTAGGCTCTTAGAAGCAAAATCCTCTAGTAGGAACCAATCTATATTCCCAGGGCTAGTCAAGGCCCAAGGCAATGGATCACTGGCGCTTCCCAGTCCACCGTCCGTGGTAATAGAGGCATATCCATCCTGCATGGCTCCTGCTAAGCTCATGTATGATAGATCTATTCGACCTGCCGCCCATCCGCCGCCTCCTACTGCCTGAAAACGTCCGTTCCAGTTGTCGATGGGAAGCCATGCTTCCACATATATCTCGTCATCGTATCCGGGGTGGGTATAAGCAACCGTGACATTGCAGAAGCGGGCTCGTTCGACTTTGAGCGGTGGCGCCGTAAATCGATAGCCTTCCGGGATATCGAGGCTGTAGTTCGTTACTAGAGACGCCGAAACTGTAAGTATTTCCGCGCCGAAGACTGTAGGAGCAAAGGTGCTTGGAACACAGGCGTTTATGAGGGAACCCGGAGCCATTTTTCTTCCAGTATCTTGTGAAAACAATGTAGTTAAAATGTGCGCGCGCTCTTGCTGAATTGAAACTCATCCGGGAGACATATTCTCGAGAAGATATGCTCCATTATGTAGATATCTTCAACTAAGCTTCTTCGCGTAGACTTAGTCGCGTAAAGTCGCGTCATGTCGCTTAGGTACAATTTAACCATACGGCATGCTGATTTGCATACAAATCAGTCATACGGCATGGGCGTTGGTGACTCACGATGCAGCAATCCTAGTCATACTTGTAATAAAATACCAATGTAAAGTAAGCCTTCCAGATATACACCGAGTTTTGTTCCCCTAATGGTTGAAAGCATGATCGGACGGGTTCCAAATACCCCGAGCCTGTCAGTTTGTGACTCAATAAGATTATCAATCTAGGTACCTCATTTTGGACATATGTAATTCCGTCTCTAAGGGGTCAAATGAATTAGAGAACTACTATGAAAGCTTACATCTCTTTTTATACCAATGAAGGTTTATTACTTAATTCATTTGTGCAGTTTATTCGTATGAATTAAACGGAAGCTGCCGGAGCCGGATCGGCCCTACTCGTGAAAAGTACAATCTTCTGTCAGAGTCGAACGACGCCTATCAGATATTCCAACAGGAAGGATTGCAGTTCACTATCTTCGGAGAAAAGCTTGGCAAAATCGTTGTGAAGCGACCAAGAAGTGCCGAGTTTCATGAAAATGGACGATGTCTTGTCATAATATCCAAGGAATCAAATCGTCAACTACATATTTTTAGAAATGAGCGCCAACTTTATGGAGGCTCTAGGTATATCGTCCTTGACGAACGTAGCATAGAAGGCCGAAGTTAGGCTAGCTTACCTCGAGACAAATCCTCAAGGCACACCAAACACCACATACAAGAATATTCTGCGAACCGCCCACTAGTACATCTCCAATGCTAGCAACTGATTGCATACGACTCAAGAAATTCTTTAGTCTCGTCCCCAGTGGCCTCCAGGCTCGATGACGCCTAGCCCCTTTTCTGTTTAGCTCCTCGGCAACTCTTATCTGAAGTAGTTGGTATTACAGATGGGCTGGACCGCATCTTAACGAATACTTTGCGACTTTCTTCGTCGAGAGCCGCAGCAAATTCGGACAGTGCGAGCCCTAGCCTAGCATCAGGCTTCAGCCTACCGGCCAAAATTAAGGCTTTAGACATTGCGAAAGCCGCGACGTTGCATCACTGGCAACACCTGATAGAGGATTTACGTGTACACTGAAATAATATAAATAATTCAAGCTAGTAATAGATTTATACCCATACGTGCGTGTTCCGGAGAGGGTAAATCCAATATAATGCCCCTTAGTCTGAGCTGAGTTCATATCTGAGTGAAGAGGTATGTTGTTGGAGTGGCTGGGGTGGGGGGCTATGCTCCTTTTCCAATAGGATCAATGTCAGTCACCCATTGGGCTGATTTCATGGGTCAGGATTCAAGAGAGGCTCAGCGACAAGACTAGGAGAAAAAGAAAACACAATAAAGATTAATTATTTAGTTCTCTAGTTACGTGCCATCCCCTATCCCGAGGCGCCTCACGCTCTAACTAACCTTGATTAATACTTGTTTGGTCAGTTCTCCTTAGCTTAATTGGTTAAGATGGGATGCTTTTCCAGAATCAAAATATTTTGATCAGTTTTCTCTTGGATGCCAGAAGCCTTCCCAGTGTCATCTTCATTGTGGCTAGTACCAGGTACGTAAATGATGGCATCTATTGATAACCACGACTGCGGCAGCAAATGTTGTCGCTTCCCTGCAGTATGACGGTCAGTATATACAAGAAGTAAAGTCAAAATAATACCGAAATATCATATCGACTTGTTTCCTCTCACTAATCTCTAAACTTCTCGTAAAGATCCCTATCCGCCGCCGTCTCAAAATCATTTCATTCACAGCCACTAGGTTAGTAAGCCCAGACTCTCGCCTCTCCCTGTGCATCTTTCACCCCCTTCCTGTTCATTCTCGAATAATACAGCCTCAAGCAAAGCGCTATTATCGCCACAAGAAAGTTACACGCTGCGCACACGAAATTCCCAGTTGGATATCCCAGCCTTGCTTCATCTACTTTCCATATCCACTGTGAGATAATCTGTCCTATTCCAGCGCATGAATTATGTAGGGCGATTGCGAATGGGATTGTCAGCAAGCTCGGCGTGTTGCATGTTACCCAGTTAGTCATCGACGGCGCAGCTGGGAAGGCTCCGGCTGCTGCCATGCAAAGACAGCCATATCGTTTTACGTACGCAGTCGGCGGTAGCAATCCAGCTATGAGCCAGCCTAAGCCGCCGATTGTTGAAATTGCGGTGATATGAAAACCACGAGCTTCGAACCGATCTGCAGAGTAAGAAAGCGCGATGGCTACCACGAACCCGACAACCCACTAAATGGGGATCAGATGTTAGCATGGGAAACCTGCCAGCCTCATTCCTTTGACTGTTCCATTACGGATCTCGTTTAGCGTCGAAGAGCGCAGAAAATAACCGGTGCGCCTTTACAAATAGGAATGCAGGTAGACAGCCATAAGTGAAAATTACATCGAATTTTAGATCCTACGAATAGAAGTACAGCTTGGAAAGTACATACCGGTGGGACTGTCATTAGCTGGGCATGTATACTCTGATAGCCCAGACCGGACACAATAGTTGGGGCGAAAAAGGTGAATGAGCCTTGGGTCACTACGTTAGCCACATAGGCAAGGTAGTGGGCCAGCATCCGCGGACTGAAAAACGTCTCCAAGATCTCCTTCCGCGTAGCATGCTCTCTATTCCATCCGCCACCCCGGTCTTTTAGGCGATCTTCTGCAAACCTCTTCTCTTCTGCGCTGAGAAACTTGGCACGGGCTGGGTAGTCTGGTAGGAGTAGCAGTGTCGGTAGCACGCTTAAAATAGTGATGATACCCTCGACTATGAAGAGCCAGCGAAACCCCTCGACTCCAGCTGAGCCGTTTATAGTGCCCATACCATAGGCGATGGCTCCCCCGAAAGCTCCAGCCAGGTTACAAAAGGCGATGACGAAAGCTATTCTAACAGCTCGCTCATTATGGCGATACCAGATCGTTATAAGGTAGACAATGCCGGGGAAGAAGCCAGCCTCGAACTGTGTCAAGTTAGCAACTAAGCTACATCCGTCGTAAGTTCCTGTACTTACCACGCCTATGAGCAGGCGCAACGCCAGAACCGTGGCATAATTCCTAACAAAAGCAAACCCCAGAGTCAAAAGTCCCCAACTTCCCAACAGTATGGCTAGCCACCTAGAGGGGGCTACGTAATGTTTCATAACCCAATTGGAGGGTACTTCAAACAAGGTATATGCCACAGAAAACAAGGTTACGGTAAGAGCATATCCGTTACTTGACATCCCTGTCTTGTGAAGAAGATCATCTCCGGTCTCTTGATTTAATACCCTCGCATTACCTATATTTCCCCTGTCTAGAAAGTTGAGTAGATATAACCAACAACATAGTGGGAGTATCCGGATGTCGAGGCGTCGGTTTAAGAGCTTGCTGCGGCTGTGATCAAACTCTCCATTATTGGTCTCTTGAAGAGACTTGTCGGCTTTCCCCTATATATTAATCTCGAGTTAGTTGAACCCGATCATGATGGGTTTAACTTGACTGACCTCTTCGATATTGCCCTCGAGGTACTGGGGAGGCTCGACTTTTTCCATGTTCTCCAGTTCGATATATCGTGGAGGGGTTGCTTGAAGAAGGTTGAGACATATTGAAAGACCCAATGTAGGTAGATAAACTACGTCCTCTTTATAAGGTAATGCGACCAGCTATCAAGCACCATACGATGAGCGTCTCCTCCCTCTACAGCTATAGAGGTAGATAGCCGATTTCTCCGCATTATCGCTTGAACTCCCCATACTACCCCACAAAGCAGACACTATCTGCCTCTTAACTAGACTATAGGTGGTAAGTATGTGGGCGCGCTACTCGTTAACGCGGGGTAGTTCCCCAGATTCCGGTTTTATAATAGACCACGCCTGTAAACCGCGCGAACATATGCCGAAGTGATAGTATTATTACCAAGCTCTTGAGGAGATCAGCCATGATCCCAGCTTATCGGAATTAAGCCGGGGCGAACGAAGCACGACTCCAAGAGATACCTAACATATCCGTCAATGTTCAAACTTGCCGTTAGAAAAGGGGTGACCCAAGGATATTCTATCATTGTGATGGCGATTAAGTAACCGTTAGTTGATAGGTATGTTTATTTAAGAGCAAAAGAAGTTTAGTCAATCCGAGAAAAGCTGACGTTTATGTAAGTACCTACGTAGTGAGGATAAGAAAGTCGGATCAATTGATAAGGAATGTTCCACTTTTAATCAACCCGATATTGTGACGCAATCTCAACTAGAAATCCTAGTATCTTAATATTAATTCCGACCTTGACTTTTGGTGGGATTTTATTGTTCGATCTACTATACGCAAAGTATGAATGCTAAGCCCTTGTGGTTACTACTAAGTGATATTCATTTCGGATCACGTGATCTTGATAGAGTCATACGAACTTCAAACTGGATTGCCTCTCTTCCCAAGTCTCACGCAAATATTCGTCGCGCAATTATATGCGGTGACTTACTCACAACACGTACTTCACAGCCGACTCACGTCCTTTCAGCATGCTACCGCTTCTTAAACGAGCTAGTGGAAGCCGTACCGCACGTCGATATTATCTTAGGCAATCATGACTTGGCTTACCGCTTCGATTACACCACTTCGGCCTTGGAGGCGCTTTCTATTAATCGACTAGCCCCCTTCGTAACGCTCCATACGAAAGTAGGATGTCACGAGTGGGATGGCCGACGGGTGTTTGTGATGCCGTTCCGAGAAGACCAGAACCAACTTGTTAAGGAGATACATAACCTGGACCCGAAGAGCGCCGCCCAGACCGTTGGGTTCGGACACCTGGCCATAAACCGGGCTATAACGCAGAAGTACACCGTCAATTCGGAGACCGGAAAGCCTGGGTTCTCTATAAGGTATCCCGGCCTTACCGGCGTGAGTGAATTTGCGCCGTTGGCAAGGACCTTCACTGGCCACTTCCACAGCCACCAAACGATTCTCCAAGCTACGAGCCAACAGAATCAGAATCTTCAAGGAAGCATAACATATATCGGGGCACCGTTACAGCTTACGTGGGCGGATCTGTTCGACACCAAGAAAGGGGTCATCTTGCTCGACCCCGAGACTCTGCAGAATGACCTTATCTGTAACCCTCACGCAGTCGGTTATGTGTCGACGGATATTCAAGACGTACTGTCCGGCCAGATGGACGAAGAACATATCCGTGACAAGCATGTCATGATTACTGGGAGTTTGTCGAGGTATAAATATATTTCAGCTAGAGAAAGTCTGGTTAAATTAGGAGCACGCAGCGTAAGAGACTGGAAGCCTTTTGAGCCGGCGTGGCAATCCCCGGAAAAAGGTCTCGGCAAGACTATGCTCCCTGCTGATATAAGAAACCTACCGAATACAGTGAGCGATGAATTTTCACGAGAAACGGGGGACGCCAAACCTTCTGATTCCGTTCATCGCTCGGTCATTGCTTCACCAAGACCGATAGCCGAGCAAATAGAGCGCGAGCCGATTGACCTTAGCGGGGTTACCGAGGAATACGTGTCTTCTCTAAGTCTCGGATCTACTCTCGAGAGGAAGCGAGAGTCATTAATCGCGGTAGGAAAGCAACTCGTGAATATCGGTAGTTCCGCTCGTGACAAGGTCAACGACACGATCAAGTATAGGGATATCCTCAATTCGTCTACCTCCTTAGCTGTTCCGACGAATGAATCTTCACGCATCTTTATCGCACACCCTATTGCTATCGAAATTACAAACTTCCTCGGCGTCCAGGGCTCTCTCAAACTTCAATTTGAGCGTCACTTCCAACCTGGTATGAACTTTATAATCGGAAAAAATGGCGCGGGTAAGACGACAATCATCGAGGCGATCGTGTGGTGCCAATTTGGACAGTGCATCAGGGACGGACTTGGGGTAAACGACGTTGTCAACGATGTCGTCGGGAAGAACTGCAACGTCCGTCTCACATTTGCCAACGGGTATTCAATTTCGCGGTTTAGGAAGCATAGCGAGTTTCATAATCGCGTGATTGTGGAAAAGGATGGTACTGTACAACCTCGGTTTGAAGGACCCAGCGCCAGAAGCTCTCAAGCATCTATCAACGAATTGTTGGGTGTAGACTTCGACACGTTTATCAGAACAGTTCTTCTGGGTAACGAAAGCACTCGGAGCTTCTTGAGCGCCTCGCAACTACAGAAGAGACAGTTGATTGAATCTGCTTTGGGTTTGGGGATCCTAGATGGCTGTGCAGAAACCTGCAATTTGATGATGAGCCAGATAGATGAGGAGCTTGGCGTAAAGCAATCGCGACTCAACGAGGTTACCCATACAATCACGCATCTCAAAGGTCGGGTTTACCAAATGGTTAAAACGCTGAAACGTTTATTTGGCGAAGAAGAGAAAATCATGGATCAGCTACAAGGCGAAGATCGAAAATACTTTACATCCCTGAACGCGAGAGAGCTCAAAATAAAGGAGCTTAGGGAGGAACTTGAGGCTGAGCAATTGCCAAATTTAGAGCCTGAGCTTGAAGAGCTTCGAAAAGGCGTATCTACAGCACGTAGCGAAGTGGGAAAGCTTGGTGCATTGGCAAAGCTTGCGCAGATTCGTTTATCAATAGATAGGAAGGGGAAATTTATCAAGCAGGACATAGTAGCCACTAGTACGCAACTGGGTGATTTCGAAAGAACAGTCGAGCGTCTGCTAGAAGAGAACGAAATATTAGAGATCCCACCTCCACCCGCAAACGAGGACCATAGCAAAGCAGAGCGGGGCTTTCTGCCCAGTGTCATGCTCATTTTTCGGAATTTCTGGACATCTGTGCTTAGATTTATCAGCTGGGAGGATAATTCTAAGATCATAGAAGTACAAAAACGGTGGCATAACCATATGAGGGCAATCGATGCCTTCAACGATACCATCAGGAAAAGACAAATCAAAATTGCGACTATAACGAACGTTGTATCAAGTTTCTCCAACGATACTTCCCAACGAGATGTCATGAGCATAACGGTGCAGCAAGCATTACGCATTCCCACTCAGCTAAGCGCCGCCATTGATGAGCTACAACGCGCTACAAGCCAACACGATCATCTCCAGCAGCAATATGAGAGCCAAAAGCAGAAGCGACTTCGCAAACAGCAGGACCTAGACGCACTGGAAAAGGACATCGATACGACGAGACAAAAATGGCATGTGTCGTTAGATCGGCACCACCTAATACTCTCGAGCAAAGAGAAGGAAATTGCTACTTATAAAGGACACCTTCAGTCGGATGCCGAATCCCTTTTTGACCTCATCCGCCAAGCAGCCAGCTTAAAGAAAGAGGCCGCAGAAATACACTCAAATAGGGAAATATTCGCCTTTTGGCAGTCTGCTTTTACGCGACGGCAGGTAGCAAAGGCTACGTTTCGGCATCATGTAACCGAGCGACATCTAGGGGAGCTGAACAAACTTCTAGGGCAGATCCTGTTAGTCATGTATCAGGATGCAAACTACGCGCGTAATATGACTTCTGGCACCATCGGGGCACTATTCAAAGAATACGAAGATGGCGATGGTAGTCAGGAGTCCACATCAGTGCTTGAACCGTCTCTATCGATGAATCAAGCACTTGATTACGCAAAGCGAAGTGGTGGTGAGCGCAAACGCGTAGATCTGGCGCTGTTCTTCGCGCTATCTATGATGGCAGGGGCCAGAAGTCCTCATATGGCGAGGTACATGCTTGTTGACGAAGCTTTTGACTCTTTAGATGTAAGCGGTCAAGCTTCCGTGCTTAAGTGGTGCCGCTGGATGACGGAACGGTTATCGTACGTCTTAGTTATTACGCACAGCCCAAACCTCGTCAAGCTCGCTGAGGAGGAAAGCGATGCTGGAGGTGCTGCCGGGGCAAATGTCGTTACTGTTAGAGCAGGTAATAAAGGCACCGAGTTGGTGGAAACGCCGGAGTCTATAGTTACCTCGCCTACTTAACCGATCCTAAGTTGATAGCCTATCATACAATCCCCATTCTTGCACCTTGAAGCTTCTATTAGCAAAGATCGGAGAACTTCATAATGTAAAGTCTTCTTCTTAAATCAACTCATGATCACCGATGGTACTTGGAAGATGAAGTAGTAAGTAGTGGTAAGTTTAACATGTAACCACCCCAAATTAATCATGTAGGGTTTTATTCTAGATGCTGCCATCTGTAACCCAGTGACCTATGGCTCGGCTACTTGCACCGTCAAGTCGGCGAAAGGGAGTCGGGACATGACAGATGCGACCTATCTACCCCCCTATCCAAATTCCGCAAGCCGGTCTTCAGACCCCGGTACTGAGAAAGCTATTCGTATTGGGTTCAAGCGATGCAGTTCGACAAGGAAGATAATGGAACGATAGACGCAACCCGGTTTCTATGGGTGGCACCTAAGCGGAAGGTCGAGAGGCTACAAGAAAAAAGCTTGTCTGGCTCGACGGAGCTTCTCGACGACGCCATTGGTGGATATCGGGGCGGCGCGGTGGTATTCGCAATGGGAACGGAATCAATCTCTAGATTGCCATATTGGGCGGCTCGGCCTTGGCATAGGTTGCAGCATCACCTCATGCCATGCGGGGGTTTCAGCTGTTATTCGGGGCGAGCTAGGAAAGTCGGACCACCAAGTCCGGGAGGGGGATCACATGGGACGGTCAGAACGAGCAGTGCGGAAAGAAATGATGTGTAGCCCGAGACTAGAACTTTTTCCGTTGCTAAGCAGGATGTTAAACGGTGGGCGGGCTTACATGCTACGTCGATATAAATCAAGGGACGAAGTAAGAAGGTTGTGATTATTTATAGGATGTAATCCCCACGATCTGCAAACAGCCTGTCCTCAGCCTCAAATTGCGTGATAGGGATCTGCACACGTCTAACGGCTGAACGATAAGTCCACTATGAGATCGACACTATTAGCTACCGTAGCCGCCTTGGGCGCTACACACGTCGCCGGCCATGCCACCTTCCAGGATCTCTGGGTAAACGGCGTAGATACGATAAGTATACCCTGATATCTTGTTTTGCCAGTTACTAACACGTCTCTCACGGGGGCTCATGTGCTAGATTGCCGCTGTCAAACTCCCCGGTGACGGACGTAGCATCGAAGGACATTGCCTGCAATGCCGGTACTAAGCCGGTATCTGGAAAATGCAGTGTCGCCGCAGGATCGACAGTGACAGTAGAGATTCATCAGGTACGTAGAATCTTCGCTTTTCGCATACTGTAGTATATGTCGGCTAATACGTCTGTTTAGCAACCCGGAGACCGCACTTGCGCAACAGAAGCGATCGGTGGCGCACACTACGGACCGGTCCAAGTATACATGGCCTCCGTAACTGATGCCTCGACGGCTGACGGGTCCTCCTCGTCATGGTTCAAGGTCTTCGCCGACACGTGGGCTAAGAACCCGTCGGGAGCAAACGCTGATGACGACTGGTGGGGGACAAAAGATATTAACGAGTGCTGCGGCCGGATGGATGTGAAGATCCCATCCGATATAGCTGCCGGAGACTACCTTCTGCGGGCCGAAGCCTTGGCTCTACACACAGCAGGTCAAAGTGGCGGCGCGCAGTTTTACATGACGTGCTTCCAGCTAACTGTCACGGGCGGTGGGAGCGCCAAGCCGGCAGGTGTCTCGCTACCCGGTGCCTATGAGGCAAGCGATCCTGGTATTCTCGTCAATATCCACGGGAAGTTAGATTCGTATGTCGCGCCCGGACCAACGGTCTACGCGGGTGGCTCGACAAAGAGCGCAGGCTCTTCATGCTCCGGCTGCGCGAGTACATGTGCCGCCGGAAAAGACCCATCAAGCACCGCTGGGGGTAGTACCCCTACCGCGACTGCGACAGACACGGCCGCTCCACCAGCAACCACGGGCGATTCCGGATCGGGATGCAGCGTATCTCTGTATGGTCAATGTGGAGGAAGCGGATTCACCGGCTGTACCAACTGCAGCGTAAGTCAAAGATCTTTCCGATAAGTTTCCCTGCTATTAAACGTAGCTGACTATTGTCTAGAGCGGAAAATGCCAAAAGCTCAACGATTACTATTCACAGTGTAGCTGATCTAAGATGGAAAGGAATCAGCGAGCATGCTTCGATGAGAAGGTATGCTAAGGTAACCCGAATTGACATCGCGTAAACGCATTGCTGAGTTTTATGAGAATCCGGCGTTGTTAATATTGATGTATATAATAATATAATATGGCTGCATTCGCTAGAGCTCGTATCGTGTATCGGCTCGTGAACTATCGCCATCAATATTCATCACAACTCTTGTCCGCACACAACGTTTATCACAATCTTTCGCTCTCTTGGGTATCACATCGGAATAGCGAGCATAGGGCGGCAAGGCACGGGCATATCGGGATGCACACGAGGCAGACGAACCCACGCTCTATATCTAAAAGTTTGAAAAATCACGTCGGAGGACCAGAGTAGTTCTTACGGCCCCAAGCGAAATACCATCCAGCCGAAATTGCCGTAAATCCTACAAAGACCACGGAAGCGTAGTTCATAAGAGAAGGATCTACCACCGGAACAGTAGTTGGCATACAGAATAATGGAATGGCCAATAGAGACCAGCCTATGCTTTTATTAGCCCATGAGACAATGGCCGACACGAAGCTCGGCACGATCGGGTAGGCAACACTTACATAGAGACACGATATTGCAAAACCATCCGATCGGGCCTAGATAGAAGCTGCCGGTGCGGACGGTCTGGCGTCCGTTGAGCATACTGACAACGATTGGTGTAGCATAAGACGCCGTCAGCGCAATAACTCCGACGCCCGAGAAAGCATTGAAAGCAGCCGACGAACCGAAGTAGATAAGACCGAGGATGATCTGAACAACCATGCTGAGCATCATCGCGTTCAGGGGAACGTCGTCGAGGTTATGGTTTATTTGCTTCCACCACTTCGAACCGGGAATAGCACCGTCGCGAGCAAATGCGTAGACGCACCTCGATGCAGCAGTCGTGCAGCCGATGCCGCATATGAGCGCCAAAACGAGGAGAGGAATTAGAAGCCCGAATGCGCCCCCGGAGTTTCCTATTGCGCTCTTGATAATCGCCGGGACGGGTTGCGCGAGCACAACGAGTCCTTGAATATCGGGAAGAACAAACACTAACGGAATCATAAACATCAATCCGGCCACGGTGTTGATGCACACCGTCAATACCATGGCCTTGGGTACCTGCGTAGCCGGCTCTCGGACCTCTTCGCACATGCTGTAGTCTTGTAAGGATGATGAACTAAGCGAGATGAGTTTTAAATACTTACGAGATGATCATGCCGGTAGAAGACGTAGCATAGGCGGCATGTAAGAGACCGACGACGAAAGACCAACCGGGTGTCCAGCCAGAGTTAGCCTCGAAATGTGTAAATACCCAACTGGCATCGTGACGACCTTCCTTGGCAATAGCCAGGACGCAGGCCATGATAGCAATAACACCAGCAAAGGTCCAGAAAATAGCAAAAGTCTAAAAATCAAATGTTAATATTAGCCAAACGGCAATGATAGTAGAGAGAGATAGAAAATCCGTACATCGAGAATGGGTAGCCATTTATTGCCTAGCGACGAAACGGCATTGCAAAGTAGCGTAATACCTAGGAAGATGAGGAAGACTTGATAGGATTCGCCGGCGAGCACAGGTTGACCATCCGCAGTCTCGAACACATTGACGCATCCGACCAAGAATAACGTGGTGCCGAAGTTGACGGCTAAGGTGATGGTAACATTTCCGACCACGTAAAGCCAACCACAGGTCCAAGCAGCAATGCGACGCCAGCGAGGAGGTGCGAGCATGAACGTCTGGTAATAGACACCGCCGGCAGTTGGATATACGCTCGTAATTTCGCCAAGCGACGCGGCAACGCAAATAATAATCATCGACACAGCAACCCATCCCCAGATGATGTTGACTGGTCCGCCTCCGACTAGAGGGTAATAAAGAGTTGTAGCTAAGCCATACGGAATCGATGCCAGCACGAAAGACATGAAAGCAACCTGTAGGGTGGACCGGTTCCGCGACAGCTCGGGAGTGTAACCGAGAGACACGAGCAGTTGGTCGGCCGATCCTGTGTCGGCTTCGCTATGCAAGTCACGGACCGCTTCGCCGGCGGTACTGACCGGCTTCTTCATGTCGTTATCGGCCATCATCTAATACTTGGACTTAAGCACGCGATCAGGTAAAAGAGTAGCAATTGATAAACGCCACGGCGGTTATGGAGAAGTGTATAGGGAATGTATGCTAATTAAGTCTCCATCTATATGATAACGTCCATGCGATAATGGCAGCGTCGGCTGGTATTTCCCTTTAAGCTGAATGGTAAATTTGAATGAAGTATAGAATAATAATAAAAAGAAAAGAACAGGAACGAGTCGCAAAAAAAGATCACGGGCTGATTACTTGGGTACACCGGCAAAGAGAAAGAAAAAAATATGCGGACTGACATCACACCTGAAAGTTGCCTGCGCTTCAGCAGCTTAGATTAGGCTGGGCTTTCTAATTAACCCCTGCAAATCTTAAGATAACATATCTTTCACCTGCCTTCTCCCGGTTAGCGCCCACGCGACTGACGGGGGCGCCGCGCTGCTTATGGACATCCTTGTGGGTTGTGTTACATGAGATAAGAAGTCTTAAGTTGCATGCGTAGGTACATTACCAGATAGACTTTCAAGAAATCAATGTCGTAAATCTTACCTTGAAGGTCGTCTATTAGTAGAAGCGCTTAGATCAATAATTAAGAATGCCCAGCCAATTCATAATGCTCGAGCTTGAGAATGATTATTTTGCGGTCCATAATTTCAATTATTCGAAACAGTTTGCCAATCCATTCTAGGAAATTTCGGTCTAAATGATCTACAAGTACAAAAACCGGCCCGTCTTAAACGGCATTTCAACCAATCGTATACGCGTATTACATATGTCCCCGCATTAAACCCCGATGGTACCGGGACCGATCCCGTTAAGTCCCGCTTTTCTCGGCTTTGGATCCATATAGATATTTTCAACCGTTTGGGGGTTTTAAGTCGGTGTTAGTGCCAAATTAACAGGTTTCAACACCATCATTCGCATTGGTGGCAATAATACCTATTTGGTATCTCTGTATTAGCATGCCGCAGGCGTAAGAGTTAAGACATACTAAAGAGTTAAGACGTACTACATGGACGCTAAGCGCGCTTAGCGACAATCCCATTACGAGACTCGGTCTTGTTGAACTATGATGGGTACCTAATGCAAGGGCGCTTTATAAGGCAAACTTCAAGCCGAGGTTGTTTACGAAGATATACTCGTCATACATGCTCAAATTGGTGGTTTGCTTATAATTACGTAAATCAAGGGCAACTAAAAATCCATAAGTGGAGTCGGTCGTTTTCAACCATTGTCTACATCTGTGATCGCAGAGGGTATATCGGCTCGGACTGTCAATTCATTAACACGGTTACGCATTTTGCGCACCATACTGTTTAAAGATCTCATCCACCTCCTTCGTTCTCGCGACGGCATCATGTAACCGGGGCCAATTCCTCTCCTCCGGGGGATCACCGGTAGACCTTCCGTTATTCTACCAATGCGCATACCTCTCATACAATTCCGCTACGATCCTAGAACGATACGGGAGTTCGTTTTGCCAGCCTCCCCAGTCCCACTCTACATCAATCACCTCGTCCGAAGCATGATCGTGGATCTTGATCTTGATCGGCTCTCTATAGGAATCAGAGTGTACGTATGCGCCATTAGCGGTCACCATAATCTCGCCTGCTTCGCCGTTAATTGACCACACGAATCCTGGGGTCCCTTTGAATTAATGTCCGCTCCTGTACGTAACAGATAATGTGGCATCCTCCGCGATATCCGCCTTCCCTTTAGCCAGCTTCCCATAAACAGCCAGAAAATCAGGTACGTCGCTTTCTATGTCCTTGATTCGAGTCCCGTCCTTACCCAGAACCGCGAGGACTGGTCTGTATCTGCATCCGACTTTTGAACAAAATAAACTCCCCGAGAAATTCGTGCACGTAGTCGATAGTGTGCCCGTAAGCAATGGTGATGGGATTGCCTCCAATCTTTCGATATGCAAATATGAAAGACCCTCTGGTAGCGAGTCCCTAGGTAAGAGATTACCGTAGGCATGAATATCTCTACTCAATATTCGGCCTATTCGACCTGACTTGAGAATGTCTTTCGGTTTGAGGACTATAGGCGAGACACGCCCCTGAAGCCTAATGATGCTATTGTCTAGACGTTTGTTAGCAGTCAAAGCAACGGCCTCCTCGTAATTCTCTACAAGGGGCCACTCTATAAAGACAGCTTTTCCAGCTCGCAAAGACGGCCCCGTCGTCAAGCTATGAGTACCAACTCGGGTGCAACAGATGATAAAATTGACGTCCGGATCTAAGGCCAAGTCATTTGGGTCGCCATAAGTCCTCACATCCGAGGGAAGTGAAAAGTGGTTTCTTGCTGCTTCTGCCGACACAATGCTCGAGTTAAGGAGCGCAACAATCTCATAGTGAGATTTGCCCCGGGGTGATAAAAGATACGGCAGGCGACCCTGGGCGGCCCAGCAGGTCTTTGCAGACGAGGAGGGGCCGATGGGCGCAACACGGATACGTGTTATATTGAAGCGAGTATAATGGGGATGTTTGTATAATGATTCCTTTGCGGTGCCGTATAAAGAGAGACCTGCGTGGGAAGACCCCTTTTATATCCAGGTTTGCTGTCCCTACATTTAGAAATCATCACTTAGAGAAGATGATGACTTACCAACACATACAGTGTCTAAACACAGCTCCATACGGTATATTTCATAGCAAAGCAGGTAGCAGAACACACCGGGCTAGAATAGGTGACATATAGTCGTCCCGCTTATTTCCATTTTAGGGAAATGGTCTCGATATTCATTACGCGGCTTAGGTAGCATTAGCATCTCCCCAATATCTTCACACACCTTGCCCCAAGAAGAATAGTGATAATAGCAACCTTCACCAACAAACTTGCATAACTCAGAAGAAACCCAAACACAAAAACAGCGCCGCCGTAAATAAAGTATTCCCATGAACAACTCCAACAATGACGTACTACAGGGGAATGCTTCTAGCAGTCACCTCCCCATCCTAAATGCCGATTCACCTCGTCCATAGCGCTGATGCCGGCCCTGAACAGGCCCACTGCCCCGTCAATCGTCGAATTTCCGGACTCGAAGGTCGGTTCAGGCTCTTCCGCTCGCCTCAGATCCGTCTGATCCAGCAGCGCCTGCCGCTTCCGCAGCACTGCTCTGGATATAGCTCGACCCCACATGTTAAACCACTGGTCCTCGCTAATACTCACGTACTGTTTGGTGCCGTCGTCAGCTATCCTCGAGAACGGCCATTCGGAAATAACAACCTCCCATCTCTTAGTCCGCAGCCACAAGTACGGCCAGGAAAAGATGAATAGGAGAGTGAACGTGAATAGCATCTGTATCCACGCCGTCAAGCGCCACTTGTTTATCCTTGCTTCGTTATAGCACTCGATCAGGGAGTCCTTCGTAACGAGTTCCACCTTAAGATGGCCGCGGTAGTTTGTACGGTTTACCAGCTCCCTCAGTTTTGTTTTAATGTACTCGTCGTCAAACCCGATCATCCTTCGTTGGAGTGCGAAGACCTTCAAGCCTGCGTGGCTGGCTGAGTACCGATGACACCACTCCCGCAGCGTCGGTTTCGGGATGCCACCGACCTCGATGCTCTGATTCGAACCGGGGGCGCGCTTCCTAAGTATAGTACCACGACGGGTTTTCTCACCGTTCTCTACGGTCCGGACATAGTTCCACGAACGGCGATACTGCGCATCCGAGTAGAGATATGGTGTTAGCTCAACCGAAACGTCAAAGTCGGTAATCGTATTCTTCTCCATCTTGCCCTTGCTGTCTCTCGTGGTCTCGGTATGTGTTCCGACAAGTTTGATATAAGGTCGCGGAGGAATCGCTGCAAGGTGCCGAATATGCTTCTCTAGATTAGCCGGGCTTTCGAGGCTTTTAGCCATCCAGTATTGGGCGCCAGTGTTCAAGTCGTTGAACCGCGTAGCGTCTTCGACGAATGGCATTTGGGCTATAGCCAAGCCGCTACCGGGAGCAGCCGTCTGCGCATCAGGCGGTGGGAGCAACAACTCGCTTTCGGCATAATTCGGCGGTAGGTCATCGATAGCAGTCTCGGGTATGTCAAGATCATCGTTGTCGCTGTAGGTGACTCTAGAACTCTCGCCGGGGTTGGTACGCAGCGAGACAACATCGTCCGCCACCTTAGCGTCCGGTTTGCCCATGGTTCGCGAGATTGGTGTAAGAGATCTGATCAAAGGGCAATTTCCAACTTGAGCAGATGCGACCGTAAAGGTTTAATTTATACCTAAATCCTGGCGGAGAAGGAAAGGTGCGATTAGGCAGCAAAGAGGGAACTGACGATTGACGGCTGAGGCTGAATTCCGGATTCCGTACTTTACGCTACGAAGTAGAGAAGTACCTAGGTACCTAAAGAAAAACCCCTGATGTTTGACTAATACTCCTGCCCTATCAGGAAATGCATGCAGGGTAGGCGGGGCAACGTGGGGCAAACGGCTCTACATATGTACCTAGGTACTAACCACCATGACTTCACCTAAAATAACAACCAACGGATTTACAAGGAGATCATACAAGCACTAACCTACAACCTTAGGACTATCCGCCCACGATACGTATATTTTAGGTACTATTAGGTATGATTACAAGCTCTTAACAGAGCATTTCAATACGTTCGTATCATCACACTACACTAACAAGGAGAAGCTTTTTTAACGATGAGCGATCTATGATGACACAATACCTGAATAGCTACTATACCACAATGATCTTATACGTAAACAAGCATTAATATTGTATACTATCAATATTGTTCACTTACCATCACTGTTATTAATATAGTATATAGTCGCCTATATTTTCTCTAAGCTCATAATTTCTTTAGCCATCACACACCTCCTTACAAGGGCACTTTACAACATCTTGCAACACTTCAGTCTTTATTAATAGCTTGCAACATTGTACGTCCACAAACCCATTTTGGTCCACCATATTCACCACCATGCTAGATCAGGCGCAGTCCCCATTCTTCTCTCTTCCGGGTGAGATCCGCAATATAATCTATAAGTATTACCGCGCCGATGCATCAGGAAGCTATCAGTACAACGGCGTCCTCCGTCCTCGGGAAGTTGCCTCAGCGCTCTCTAAACCACATGGTCTTCCCATGACCTGCAAGCTAGCATACGATGAAGCTTATGAGATGCTCTGCGCTCCCCACGCAGAAATCACTGCCATTACTTACCCCGATTTCCGTCCTGGCTCTGTCCGTATTTCAAGCGACGGTATCTTTCAACCTTCTCAGCTTCGTTCCCTCAATATCACTTACATTTACGATATTATACCTTCTTGTGACAACATATTCTCTTGCTTCATGTGGTTTGCCGGAGTGGCCCCTAATATCCGTCGATTAAAGATTACAGTCGACCACGGCAACGGCAGCCCAGTCTTTGGCAGCCTAGTCTCTCCTCGCCCTGAATGGATAGTACGAGGAAGCGTCCTAACAACCTTCAACAGGATCGTTCTTCCGCAGGTCGTAAGTTTTAGGCAACTCGAATCCGTCGAATTAAACGGTCGCTTTAATGCTGATATGGCCAAACTTTTACATATCCGACTTACTCGTGCATCCATGGGTGAGCAAGTGAGATTGTACAGAGTTATACCATCCGAATCCACTGAGCCAATCAGATCGTATGAATCTATTCCGATAGAAGCTGCCGATCTGGAGTTGACACCAAACGATGAGAACTTTTACGACACATTAGGCTCCAAAATATACACAACAATCCCTACTGAACCCGAGGGGATAATAGACCATTGGTTCGGGACTGTCATAGGTTCATCAGAATGAACGAGTCTATGCTAGATGAAGAATATCAGAACTCTTGAAAGTTCCCAATATTAACAATGACGCATACGCTTCGGAAATATAAACGGCGAAATCCAAGCGAATTGAAACGCGTTTGATATTAGATAGTAAGATAGTTAATTGATACCTTTCAATAATATAGCATACGTACCTAAAATAACTTTGCTCATCCCAATAGAATTACCCAATATTGGACACAGATGATAGTAAAAATTCTACGCAATTAACTAAATACGCGAATGAAATAAAGAAAGCGGCAAGAGAGAAAAAAAAATACCGAAAAAAAAAGGAACGTCGCAGTAAAGTGACGACTCTGCAAACGTGTGACAAGCCCCACGTGGGACTCGAACCCACAGCCTCTGAATATCCGAATAGAAGTTCAGCGCTCTACCATTGAGCCAGCAGGGCACTGCTGGATATCGAGTTCTTATGTGAATAGATTTGATCTAGGAATTAGCTTGTGGGCTTTCGATAGCCAAAGAATTTCATCCCTTAGACACTTCGTTTTTAGGTAGTTAAAAGAAAAAAAAATTTGTCGTCACTAGCCTCCACATGGTCTTACATAAGGTAAGTGGCTTTTAACCCTAATGGCATTATGGACCGTGCACTAGGGTCAAGTGGGATGGTCCTAAAAGTTTATTGGTCCACCATATTGTCCAATACCACAAAGCGGTCATATTAGGGGCAGATCATGAAAAGGACAAAAATGTTAAAAAAGAAACGCAAAAAGGTATTCATGACAAGAGTGGGACTTGAACCCACGCGGATTTCTCCATGAGGATATGATATTAAGGTGACCTTAACCTCACGCCATAACCAACTCGGCCATCTTGCCGTGGATATGTAGGCTCTTAGTGTGAATCTTAAGGAATAATGATTACTTGAGGTTCTGATTGGACAAGAGATTCGAATGGATTCATGGTCGATCATTGGTCAATTCATACTATACCCAGTGAGGGGGAAGAGGAAAAAAGAATTCAGAATAATTCAAATGTAAAATTGTCCAAAGTTTCAAATATTACCAGTTTCCAAAAAAACTGGAAAAAAAAAAAGAATTGCCCATCACAGGAGTCGAACCTGTTGCCTCCTCATTACCGTGTATTGCTTCTATGAAGACATAACTCCTTAAGAGTTTAGCTGCTTGGAAGTGATACTAGTGAGGCGCTCTACCGGTGAGCTAGACGGGCAGATTGTGAAGTTGGCCCACTTGCTATGAGCTAGGATCTCTAGCTGCTGCGGATGAAAGATTTGTTTGCTATAAACTATTATCAATCCTATAGGGATTTGAATTGGCACGACAAACAGTGTCTAGGTATCCAAGATATATAAATGTAGTCCTACCTTTATATTCATTCCCATTAGGAGATAATATATCAGGTATGTAGTCGTAAATCATGCTACAATTTATACATGCGTTGAACCGGAACCGGTTCCCTTGAATCAGCCCTACCTTTAACTACGAGCCGATAAAGCGGTTCGTACAATATCACTCTAGACTATGTAAGAATAGTAGCAATTTATCCTCACAAGAGGTATACTTGATTGGTCAAGCCATACCTCTGCAATATAAACTAACTGATCACGCTTACGATTACCACCCTTACCTTTCGAACTGTTGTAAAGAATAGATTAATATCTTTTCGCCTCGGCCGTCTTTGTTCTAGCTAGGCATTATAGGACTTCAAATTGCCGCCCATCACTACCCAGCCTAACGTAGTCATGTGTACTGACGTTGTTTAAGGATAGTGGAATAACCAATATTGGCAATGTGACTTTTGTTCAACGCCGAGCTTTCTCCTATACGAATACATAGTCTTATACGCAACTAGACGAGAGGAGACTAGGTCCTTCGATTACCAGGTCGGATTTGTGTAGCCAGTAACAAATAGATGATATATCACCGGGGTAAGGTCCAGAGCCAGTGCAACCTATCTTTGACCCTGCTCCATGGGTAGGCATCGGATTAAAGCGAAGTGTAAGTAACGGCAGTTGCATAGCCTCCAAGATATTATATCACCGTACAGCCTTCTACATGGTACCTAGTTATAATCCCGAGTATCAGTTGCACACCATCTCATGTAGACGTAGCCACATATGTATGCTATGTTATTCAGGATGTTCCCTAGCTCGTCAATGGAGGAAATAGTTGGCAGGTATCACTATAAACTGAGAGTGCAGTTATTATGCATACATGTCTCGCATAGGTTCGAGACGCCGATAGATCTATCACTGCCACTGTGATACAGTCGTAACCGGATATCTAGCTAGACGTGGGGGCTTATTCTTGAAACTATACGTTATCTAGGCAACTTAATATGCAGACCACTCTTTCATTTATATCATAAGGTGAACCATATGCGCTGTCTATACAGGACTATATCCTGCATATCTTATAGTAACGCTTTAATAACATCGACACACCCATATAACAGTAAAGGCTTTATGAGAGTGAGGCTATCAATTCTACGAGAGCACAACTCTGACAGCATAATTCGTGAAAAGTATCCACACAGTCGTAACCTTATATCTGACGAAGTAGGCGATGTGTGAGGCCTTGCATGGGGAGAAGAATTGCTAGGCGTTCTCCAAGAGATGACCGCGTAGGTTCATCACGATGACGATCTACAATTGTAGGTAACGGGCCAAAGTCAAATATATCCGGACTATCTTTTCTTTCATAGGCTCGCCGTATGCTCCGGCCTGAGTGTTTGAGGCATGTGTAACAATAACCGGGGCTCGATATTGCCTCTCGAGCTCGAGTGGTGGAGGGCACGATGTTCGAATTGGCCAGAAAGGAAAATCACGGGTTACTTGTTGCAGCGTGAGACGTGATTTTCTCCAATTTCCCCTCGTCGAGCGCAGCAATCGAATGCAACAGGAGAATAGTTCCGCATCACAAGGAATCCAAGGAGGATCGTCTAGTGATAAGTCTCATCGGCAGTTCGACATCGTGGTAGCTAAAGTGCTTAGTTATTTGTTACCGGTTGAATTTGCCTCGATCAAAGTCCAAGTAATCTCTCGGCTCGCCCGGCACAAGGCCACAGGAATAAAAATACTGGAGATTTAACCCCAGATTGACCTGATGCGTTCGTCACTGTTGGAGGATTGTCATAACTCGGGAGCTAATGGGAAGTCCTAGCCAAGCTGAGGTCAAGAGTCAGCCAACCCTATAAACGCGTACTATGTTGGTCAGCCACGACATCAACGTAGAGCGCTAAGGTACGGCAGGGTGACTATTGGTGTAAGCTACTCATGCAAGGTGCTCCCTTCGGATAGACCCAACGAAATAAAGCGAACTATAATATCGAAAACTGCGGGGAAGCATGGGGTGCATACAGATTGTCGGGTATTTAACCTCAAGGTAGCTTTCACCCCGCATTATACGTTCGTCTTGCATACGAGCTGCATCTACTAGTGACCAATGAATATGTAGATATATGCAGGATTGCCTAGTAGAGCGAGGAGGCAAGGGTAGGACGACCACAAGGCTGTGAAAGCTAACTCTCCGAGCCTCACCGAGATGCCGCTGCCGTTGGTAGGCGGCATCATGTCTTGCCTTTCCTTATATGTCGATTTAGACATCTATCAATCACTATATACGAGTTGGAGAGGTGACGTGGGTGGTTAAACTAGAAACCCGATACAAGGTATCCCGGAGGCCCAGAGAGTAATTAGAACCAGGTTGTTTCGTGCTTGGACGAATGTGACCCTTCCTGCGCTGCCGGCGAGTGCTCTCTTGGGATTTTACTCTCCTTCCATCCGACCAGTTTCTCCTTACGATTGGGACCCATGCAAAGATGTTACATCACGAAATATCAGATGACCTCTACGAGGCATGAGTTGGCAAACATGTTGAATAGTTGCCGGAATAGGGGGGTCTGTTGGAGGATATAGTTGGTAATCAAGCTTAGACGCATGGCCTAGACAGTAAGAAGGGGATTATTGGCAACTTCTTACGAGTTCTTCAAGTGCAGGGGTCCCCCCTCTTCCAACGGATATTTGGATCCTGCTCGCCCAGCTTTCGAGAAAGCATAAGAACGCAATCGTCACCCTCTAGCGAAGTTTCACAACATGTTCTCTAAGATTTTCGGCTGGGATCAAAAACAACAAGCAGACATGAGTCCCCTACCTGAGGAATTCGATATTATCGTTTGCGGTGGTGGGAGTTGTGGATGTGTAGTGGCTGGTCGGTACGTTCTTCCCAAGATATACCCGTGAGGGCTTCCACTATATACTCATTCCATATAGTCTGGCAAATCTGGATCATAACCTTAAAGTCCTTCTAATCGAGGCCGGAGAGAATAACCTCAACAACCCATGGATCTTCAGGCCAGGGGTTTACCCCCGGAACATGAAGCTAGACTCGAAAACGGCATCCTTCTATGAGTCTCGCCCATCTAAGTGGCTCTCCGGCAGAAAAGCGGTAGTTCCGTGTGCCCACATTTTAGGCGGAGGTTCCAGCATCAACTTCTTGGTATGCAAGACCCTAAGTTGAAAAAATAACTTGGCGCTTAAATTTTATAGATGTACACGCGCGCGTCAGCCAGTGACTACGATGACTTCCAGGCCAAAGGGTGGACTACCAAGGAACTGCTTCCGCTTATGAAGAAACACGAGACCTATCAACGAGCTTGCCATAACAAGTAAGAAAAGGAAAATCAAAAGCATCTAGAGATACTAATAGCCAAAGGGACCTCCACGGATTCGAAGGGCCGATCAAGGTTTCATTCGGTAACTAGTAAGTTGGCAGCCGTAGCTCGAGTTCGAATGCTCAAGAAACTAACGACCATCAGCACATATCCAGTAAAGGAGGACTTCCTTAGGGCAGCAGAATCCCAAGGTATCCCCGTCGTCGATGATTTACAAGACTTAAGTACCGCCCACGGCGCCGAACACTGGCTGAAGTGGATTAATCGCGACGTACGACCCCTTGCCCCCTATTCACCTTTGTTTCATAACTGACTATTCGTGGATGTAGACCGGCCGACGTAGCGACAGTGCCCACGCATATGTTCATTCGACTCGCGCCGTCCATGACAATCTCTATCTAGCTTGCAATACCAAAGTAGATAAGATTATCATCGAGAACGGTAGGGCCGTAGCTGTTCAAACAGTGTAAGGTTAATCGAACGTCGAACTATACGCAGATCGCTAATATGTATCAAGACCAACCAAGCCGCTTCACCCCAGTCAACTAAAGACTCGCACCTTCAGAGCCCGAAAACAGATCGTTGTGTCCGGAGGCACGCTTTCTTCCCCGCTAATCCTCCAACGATCCGGCATCGGTATGCTTCCGTAGTTAGATTGCGAACCCACAAGTGTTAACGATTCTCAGGCGATCCCGAGAAGCTAAAGAAAGCTGGAGTTGAGCCTATTGTCAATTTGCCCGGTGTGGGCCTCAACTTCCAAGATCACTATCTGACTTTCTCCGTATACCGTGCGAAACCCGAGACGGAAAGCTTCGATGATTTCGTTCGAGGTGTACCTGAAGTACAAAAAGGTAAGAGCAGCAGTATATTATATCTTACTAGTCGTGATGCTAATAAGTCTCCAGCGGTATTTGACGAATGGGCGGCGAAAGGAACCGGGCCACTTGCTACCAACGGTATTGATGCTGGCGTAAAGATTCGTCCAACGGAAGAGGAACTTAAAGAGTTCGAGTCTTGGCCCACGCCACAATTTAACGAGGGCTGGAAGTCATACTTCAAGAACAAGCCGGATAAGCCAGTAATGCACTATTCCATCATCGCCGGCTGGTTTGGTGACCATATGCTACTCCCCCCGGGTAAATTCTTTACCATGTTTCACTTCCTCGAGTATCCATTCTCGCGAGGGTTTACCCATATCAAGTCTGCCGACCCCTACGAGGCTCCAGACTTTGACCCGGGCTTCATGAACGACGAGCGCGACATGGCACCGATGGTATGGGGTTATATTAAGAGCAGAGAGACGGCACGCCGCATGGAAGCCTACGCTGGAGAGGTCCAGGCGATGCACCCTTTCTTTGACTATGATTCTCCAGCTAAAGCCAACGATATGGATCTCGAGACGACTCGACGCTACGCCCTGCCCGGTAATCTAAGCGCCGGCTTGCAGCATGGCAGCTGGAGTACTTATAACCCCGAGCCGTCTAGAAGGCCAGAAGCCAATATCCTAAACAGCAACAAGGCGGACATCCGAGACGAGCTCAAGTATAGCAAGAGAGATATCGAAGCCATTGAAGAGTGGGTTAGAAGGCACGTAGAAAGCACGTGGCATTGCCTAGGTGTAAGTAATTACTACGATGTTTCTTTGCGAACTCCATCCATACTTACATTTTACACTAGACCTGCTCTATGGCCCCGAAGGAGGGTAACAGCATCGTCAAGCACGGTGTTCTAGACGAGCGCTTGAACGTCCACGGTGTTCAGGGTCTCAAGGTGGCGGATCTCAGTATCTGCCCTGACAACGTTGGTTGCAACACGTAAGTTAAACATCATACCCTGTAACTATCTTTCGTTGTCTCTTTAACACGATGTAGATATTCTACCGCTCTTCTCATTGGCGAGAAGGCAGCAACGCTAGTTGCCGAAGATCTCGGATACTCCGGCGAAGCGCTCGACATGAAAGTCCCGACCTATAACGCGCCGGGCGAGCTGGTACTTCCGTACCGCGTGTAAACGTACTCACTATTATGATTTTTCTTCATGTCGGAGTTTATGTAATGTCTGGGTATGATTATGAACTTCGAACCAGATTGACAGCTCTCGGTCAACTTCGGGACAAATCTTCTGCTTCCATAATATCATGTTTTGAGTAGTAGTTAGTTAATTGTAACATACGTTGAATATGTCGATGTCTTTGTAGTATCCTCGTATCCATGAATTCTCACTTATGCGAAATGGGAATAATAAGGGTCCAAGACTCCACAACGAACCAAAGCATTGGGCCAGACACCGTCTCTGCAGCTGATACACTGTATAGTGCACACTGTATGTTTCTTCGCTTGCGTTTGATCAATGACGGGACAGTGGGAGCCTGGAGAATTCATCTTCACGCCTTCAATCCCTAAGTATTTTCAAAGATTACCAAAATCTATACCTTTTCCAGTAAACTTCACGGCTCGTATTCTATTTTTATTGGCCATAATATATCCTTAGTCTTGCCTGAATCCTTTAATTATTGCGCAACGCTCAAAAGGGCGCGAAGATGCGATAGCTAGGTACCTAGCACCTAAGCACCAATATATAAAACGCCAACCGCCTCACAACCATCTACATGATTTTCTTCCTCGTCTCTATCTTATAACATCGCCCTTAATCAGCCACTTTATCCTTGCATAAGACTAATCAAGACGACTACATACGTAGCATCGCGGATTACCCGTTTGGAGTACATGAGAGCTTAGACGCATGTACGAAGTTGACCGGTTGTACTTTGAAGATAAGCCTGGTGTAACGAAATCCGCGGTCTTTCATTTAAGACGGATAGAGATTCGACGAGGAGTTGACGGACTTAATAGTCCCTTCATATATCCATCGAAGAATTAGACCAATTTGATTATTCAAGACTTGACATTTCACAATGGCGTCTAATAACGACGATGGGAATGACAGGAACGACACCGATTCCGTCTCTCCCGATTCTGCCAGTGAGACGACTCCGCTTCTAGTAGTATCGCCTGTTGCGACGATAAGCGGGAGCGATACGCTAGCCGGGGAGGACGGCGAGTCTTATAGACTTCTCGACAGGCCCGAGGACAAGCCACTACCTAGGCTTCAGATATTCCTGCTCTGTTATGCGCGCCTCGTCGAGCCTATCGCGTTCTTCTCCATCTTCCCGTACATCAACCAAATGGTACAAGAGAATGGCCACTGTAGGTTCCCATCATCATTCTCATATTCCTACTACACCATAAGGTAAATAGACAATAGGGTGAAGGCTAACATAACAATATAGTGAACGAAGAAGACGTAGGCTTCTACGGCGGACTTATCGAGTCCCTCTTCTCGCTCACACAGATGATCGTGATGATGTTCTGGGGGCGAGCAGCCGATCGTTGGGGCCGCAAGCCCGTGCTCGTATCTTCCTTGCTCGGCGTCTCTATTTCGGTCTCCCTGTTCGGGCTTGCGCGCTCTATCTGGCAGATGATTGCGTTACGGTGTCTAGCCGGTATCTTCGCCGGTACCGTTGTCACCATTCGCACCATGATCGCCGAGCACAGCACTCCGCACACCCAAGCGCGCGCCTTTAGCTGGTTTGCCTTCACTAGCAATATCGGCATCTTCCTCGGTCCTCTCATCGGCGGCGCGCTCGCGGACCCTGCGCATCAGTACCCCTGGGCGTTTAGCGGCGTGCCATTTTTCGAGGAATATCCCTATGCGCTATCATCTATTGTCGTGGGGTGTATCGGCTTGACGGCTGTATTTACCAGCGCGCTTTTCATCGAAGAGACATTGGATCGGAGCAAGATCCCGAATGCAGACTCTAGCGATGGCGAAGCAGGCGCAGCGCCCAAACCGGAATCAACTTCTACACTACACCTCCTGAAAGCCCCGGGTGTTGGCATTGTGTTGTATAATTACGGACACGCGATGCTCCTCGGATTTGCATATACTGCAATCGTGCCCGTATTCTGGTATACGTCTGTAGAACACGGCGGCTTTAGTTTTACCCCTTTACAAATTTCTCTATGCATGGGTCTAACTGGTGTATCCCAAGCGTTATGGCTCCTCTTAGTATTCCCGCCGCTACAGCGCAGGTACGGAACCAACGGTGTTCTACGCGCCTGTGGTATCGCATACCCGTTATTTATCGGTGCTATGCCGTTCTTAAACCTCATTCTATATCAAGGAACTCCCGCCTCCAACACTGCGTTCTGGATCATAGTCCCTATCATGCTAGCGCTCGGTCCGGGTGTCAGTATGGCCTTCACGGGGGTCCAACTTGCGCTAAATGACGTGTCGCCATCTCCAGTAACTCTAGGCACGCTCAATGCCTTGGCGCTGACCATCACGAGTGGCCTTCGCGCTTTTTCCCCTTTGCTCTTTACTAGTCTGTTTGCTATCAGCGCCAAGTACGAACTTGTCTGGGGTTATCTCGTATGGTTGATCTTAACTATCATTGCTGCTGCTTTTACTGTCTCGACGAGGTTCTTGCCGGCAGCTAGCGAGAAGGATTACGACCGCGAGGTGCTATTGGGGCGAGATGTAGACGACGATGATTAAGATCAAATTACCCGATAATGAGGGGGCGTCGAAATATGCAGGTTAGCGTTTGTTCACTTTGATTGACATAAAAGTCGGGATATAGGGTAGTTCGGTAAAATTGAAAACATCAAGAACTACCAATCAAGGGTAGTGACTAGGTACTCAGAGCCGATTGTTATTTAGATTTACGTCGTTGGCGAATTAGAATATAGACGCCTGATGACAATGTATGCTGCTAGAACTGAAGCCCCATAGAGCTGTTATATTCATGAGATGTATTCATACAACGCGTTTCGTAATAATCGTATAATTAAATCCGGAACGCCACCCAATGCAATTGCGCTTCTGATGCATCCCTCTATTTTATATAACCACTTAATCCCTATTCCGATTGCTGAGCCATCTTCTTACGATGAACTCCCGGACTCTATACCGTTTCAAGACCTCCGCCGTCCCTAGTCCTTCTTCAAACGGAGGTGGTATATCTACATATGCAAGAACCAAGGTCTTCAAAGCTGTAGCCTGGACACGATTGATGGTATGAAGCCAGTGCCAAGACCTCCGAGGAGGCTGACGGCCCTGGGTCCTCCACCAAGGATCGGTGTACGCTGGTAAAACGATGACAGCAAACTCGGCATGAGAGAATACCGGACCACGATTATATAACATCCAATCAACACCAAATTTGATACCAGGCCGCGTCACCCAACCTAAAGAACGAAAATGGTGGTACACTGCGTAATGAATAAGAAAGGGATCATCCGGTCGAAGATCTATCGTCCTCGGAGGTATGTACGAGACCTGGCGACAAAGCGCGAACAGATCTGGAGCCGTGATGGGTTTACCGGTCTCTGGGTCTAGGATACTCAAAGCCCCCAGAGCAAAGACGAGATAGAAAGCCTCTTCCGGACATAATTGGAGGTGCTCCTTATCTACAAGTTCAAGCTCTGACTCAGAACTGGTCTTGACAGTCGTCTCACTTTCAAGGGCAGGCTGTGATAGACCCAAGTCTGTCGGCCGAGCTGATGGGGAAACCCCGTTTGATATACCGCCGTTAGGCGTGTTCCCATTTGGCAAGGCGCCATGATGGGGGCTCGGTGGATCAAACAGCTGAAAAGTTGTCGACTCCACCTTGGGCGAAAATCGCACCGACTTGCGTCTTTTAGGGGGGTTAGTTGGAGTGTGCGGCCGTGAAGAGTAACCATTTATCCCGGATGAAGCCGCTGCTGCTTCCTTCCCGGCCGTGCTTGTCCTATCGGCGTCTTTCGTTGTGGCGGTATCTAATGATGACGAGACGCTAGTTGCGGCTCCATTTGCAGTCTCAACGACGCTTCGAGTACCATTCGTGACGGGAACCCGCGCCAAACTTTCGCTTGCCGAACCGTTAGGGTATATGGGTTTCACATCACGATGCGAGTTTGGAAGAGCTAACAACTCGGCGGGTCCAACTGGAGCTACCCATGCTTCCAGCTGTCTGGTCCGTTCGATTGCTTCTTGCTCTTTCCTAGCACGATCCCACTTCATCAACTTGCGCTCTTCTCGCCTCTGAGCGGTTACGGCTTCAGCAACACGGCCATCATGTTCACCTCTCCGAGCCTGTTCTCGCTTAAGCCAATTCGGCTCGCTCCTACTATAATTGCCTTTACCGAAGAACCCCTGTTCCCACAATGCTCGTATCGACTTGGGGTCCTTGATATGGACTGATCGAGTCTCTGCGGACCAGACGCCTTGATGAATTATAGCAGGCTCAGTTGGTGGTGGGGACACAAGTTGGCTCACCCACGCATATACCACGTGGAAAAGAGACAGCGGATTACTTGGATAGAAGGTTGGCAACGGAAAAGTACGGATAGGCGCAGGGAGCGCATAAATCTGATGAAGTGGGGGTCCTTTTGGGACAGTAGAACGAGGCTTAGGCTTCACTTGGGGAGATGGGACCGAATTCACAGAAGTGGAAGAGGTATCATCATGTAGGTTCGGGGTGATGGACACGGTACTGAGTGTGTCTGCCATGGTTATTGCTCATCATGTCGACCTACTTTGATAGCTGTCAGCCGAATGTCATTATACATCGCAGCTTTCAAGTTTCGAGTTTGCATTACGAAGAGGCAAGGTTGAAACGTGCAAAGGCAGATAAAAAATAAATTCAAATAAATAAATAACATGATATGATCGCTCAGATACCGTTGTAGTCTATATTGGGACACTCATCGAGACTTTTTGAAGGTCTCTAAGCACCGAATAAAAAGGTTGTCATCACCGCGATAAAATATAACAAAGGAAATTCTTCTACTTTCAGGATCGAAGCCTATACGATCCCAATTGCGCTGATAGAAGTTTCGAAGCTACTTACATGATTGATTAATGTCTACCTCTACCTTTGATAGAGTAGGCCATTCATCACTCGTCAAGCTATCCTGACCGAGCTGTGTGTTCTTGTGGATGAGGTAAAACGAGTCAACCTTTTTGTAAATTTTACAAAATTGTGAGTTGAAGGTTGCAAGATTTGTTAGCGGGATGCGCAAACAATAAAAATGATCAAAAGGTCGATCTAGTCTATCCAATTGGATTGTCGGGCCGGTATTATCCGCGGATCCGCTAGTCCGTTGAACGTTTAGCACGTGTAGTTGAGGTACATATGTACAGTGCCTACGCATATCCACTGTATTGTACAGTACATTGTGCCCGACAGATTGGATTAGGTGCCGTACCTGGATTAGATAGAGCTCATTAGATATGGTCCGTGCCTTCCCGGCTTTGGAGTGCAAGGCTGCAAAAGCGAAGCGACGATCCCCTGCGGCTGTCATCGCCTCTGCGCCTTTGATCACCTACAATTTTAGTTTAAATTTTTTTTCTTATTAGCGGGACCTCAGGCTCTTAGAGGATCCATCAACAATGCCGGATGGACCGGACCGCATTCATATTCCCTGAGTCGTAAAACGATACCATTACCATTAAGGATTCGATATCTGATCGTCATTGGCCCCAGTATGGATGGAATGCTCTATATTAATTCCTTCTCCTTGCGTCCCGCTAGATCTGGTTGATATTGTCCTAGAACGTCCACCTTGAACATTCAGTCTTTTGATGTTTTTGTTTTTTGTTTTTGTTTTTTTTTTTTAATCATCTAATTATTACACGACTCTCTCTTCTTCATCCTGATATGTTCCAATGCCCTCATACATTGTTCAGGCGTTAGGTAGCGTCGGTATCATATGGGGCTTTGTTGTCGTTTCAGTTCAAAGTATTGGTCTCTATAAAATGTAAGAATTCCTATACGTTCTCTACCCATTCTCCTAATTTATTAACATATGTTTCTAACTCTGGTTCCAAACAGCTTCCGCTACTACTCGTCAGTCCCCGCCGCCCCGGTGTCTCCATACCTACCGAAAGATGAGGTGCCGCACGTAACTATCATCCGGCCTGCCAAGGGTCTAGAACCCGGCTTGTACGAATGTCTCGCCTCCGTATTCCACCTGTCCTATCCGAAAGACAAGTTGACCATCTACTTCTGCGTTTCGTCCAAGGAAGATGCCGCATACCCCGTCATCCGTAAGCTCCTCGATAATTACCCCGATTTCGATGCCAAGGTTTTCGTCGAAACTGAAGACCCTTTTCTCCACGGTGATGGCGGCCACGTCGACAATGTTGGTCCGAACCCCAAGATTCGCAATTTGAGTAGGGCTTATAGGGAAGCGAAAGGGGATATAATATGGCCTCTCGACAGCAACGTGTGGATAGCAAGGGATGTAGCTGGTCGTATGGTCGACAAGCTCTGCGGATACCAACCAAACGGCAAGCGAGCGAAACCTTTCAAATTCGTCCACCAACTACCTTTAGTAGTAGATACCGTTACCTCAATGAGCTCTTCAAACTCCGAAGGCCAGACCTTGCTGTCCGGATCTTCAGTGACTGGCGGCTCCGATGCGCAGTCCAGCGTCGACGTGCCGTCCTCCGTTTTGTCTAGGTCCTGGGCTCACGGAGGCGGAAGATTGGAGGAGATGTTTATGGCTACGACTCACGCCAAGTTCTATGGCGCTATTAATACCGTTGGTATTGCGCCCTGCATCGTCGGGAAGAGTAACATGTTCCGCAAGTCGCATCTCGATCAGGTCACAGATCCAGCCCAAAACCCGATCCTGACGGGCAGAGCCGCAACTCTGCCCAAGGGTCTAGATCATTTCTCTCTATTTATGTGCGAGGATCATGTCATCGGCGATCTTCTATGGCGTTCCAACCTGCCCGGCTTCGCCAACCATGGCCTTGTTTGGGGCGACCTCGCGATCCAGCCTATGGCGGGAATGTCGGTGCCCGCTTACGTCTCACGCAGGGTGAGATGGTTGCGTGCTAGAAAATGGACCGTGTTATCAGCTACTCTAGTCGAGCACGGCGTCGAGAGCCTCGTGTGCTGCTTCTACGTGTCCTTCGGTCTCACTAGCCTCCCTTGGTTTCACCAGACTCTTGGCATCCCACAAACTTGGAAGGCTCTGTGGCAGCTCTGGCTCGCTGGCGTCGCGCTGTGGATGGTTGTAGACCGGATCGTATTCAGAAAGTTGCATGCAGGACACAGCATACACGTGGACGAACAGACGCCATTATTTGCCCGGGGCACGAGCCGCGGCGGAGCTGAAAAGCGCCGATTCGGCGAGTGGTTCCTGGCTTGGTTAGGGCGGGAGGTAATGGCCCTACCCATCTGGACGTGGGCCGTCTTCCTCGGTGCCACGGTGAATTGGAGGGGCAAGCAATTTCGGGTCCGATCAGATATGACGGTCGTTTCGATAGACTCGGAGCCTGAAGAGCGGGCTTCGGCGCAGAATGGGTATAGCGCCGATGGCATGTCGCGAGCAAGAGGGAAGAAAGATTAGACCTAAGATACCCCAGCATTTATTCACGCCTAATATATAATTCATTACGTCAACCGCGTCGCTGGGTCGAATTGGCATCTTGACAGGTATTTATATCGTTTTTCCTAATTAGACCTTTTCGGCGTAGCCGATCTAGCCCAAAGACAGCCTTACAGAAACCTCAAGGTATACTCGGTTCACACCTAGGACTACTTGATATGCCGGAATGCTCTCCTATGCGTTCTAGATAATTCTCATATCCCGGAACCGCGGACCGTAGATTAGGATTACCCTATCTTGCAAATTTTGCACGTAACATACCTTTGACACCTCAGGTAATTTTAGCCATTTCACGAAGTCAGCTTCACAATGAAGAATCCTCATTCACCAACCAAACGCTCGGATGCGGAAGCCTCACTCGACAAAAGAAGCTTAAATTAAATTTAATATTTTTTTTATTGAGACCTCGAAATAAAACCAACTTCCCCATCTGTTTGGTATATCCATCTCGTCCGCAGTAGCGGCCCATCTACCTAGGTATATAAATAAAATATGGCGGCAGAGTATCAGTTAGCAGTAATAATATCAGTAAAAGTAAATAGGACCTGGGTATAGATTGCCCGTTTGCAACATCGTCTTCATCCTATCCCATCCGACGACACGGGTCGAAAATCGACTTGAGTAATGCAATGCTTACACGAATATAAAAATAGTAGTACTGGTACAGCCTGCCGATTTTCCAATTCGAACGAGGACCATGACAATATTTCCGAGCCAGCTAAATGGGTATAAAGTAAGTGATGTATGTATGTCATGTCATGTCATGTCATGTTCCCAGTTCCAGCAGTTTCCATTCCGTCACGTCCTATTCTTTTTGACCCTCGTATCCCTAAGCCCAACGTTATATGATTTAGAGGCCAGACAGACAATGGTTGGGTATCGATTTTGTAACATTGAACAGGCAAGAAAAAGCCACGCCGAGGATGCAGGTAAGGAAAAAAAAAATGAAAGTCGTGGATTATCCAACTGACGGAAGGAAATAGTGTGTTGAACATGTGGATCTGTATCTCGCTCTCGGTAGCATAGGCCGTCATCAATGTGTTCGACGAATAACTCCGTGAGGGACAAACAGATAGAAAACGTAAGACAGGTAAGTTGCAGCAGCAAACGTCAGCGTAGCAATCATTCAGAGCCCCATCATCTCATTCTGGCCGAGGAACGTTCTGGCCAACTCGTCTCCGCCACGTTCGGCTTCCTTCATCCAGTGGATGGCGACGCACATTAGAGTCGGATCGCTCCTAACGTCACCGTCCATAGTCGTGTCCTGCATTCCTGAAGAGGACGGGCCAGCCGTACCTAGATTGCTTCGGCTCCGATCAGCCGAATGGCGGGCGCTGCTCCCGGGTCGCGCACCGAACTTCTCCATGACGGCTTGCTTAAATACGTCTCGCGGCTTCGACAAAGGCAACGTACTCCTCTCGACAAGCTCCGGGTTACTAAGGTTAAAAAGGCCCAGCTCCCTCTGCGCCGTGGCATTGCCCTCCTTGGCCGCGATCGTCCACATCTTCGCCGCGTCGCGAAGAGAGTGGATCGGCGGCTGGCGCATCATCTCTGGCGCATCGTCGCCACCGCCGGGACGCTTCCTCGACGGCGTGTAATAATTCAGGATCTCATCCGCAACCTCGACCATCGTCGTAATGGTGTCTTGCTTGAGCGAGAGCGCCACTACTACGATATCCCAGAAGGCCTTGTTTCGATCCGTGTCTAACGTGGATGGGGATACAAAAGAATTAATGAATTGTAGATCGCGGAACAGCGTCTTGGGCCGTATACCCGCGTCTTTGAATAGAGACCGAAGTACTCGTGCGATAGCGTCAGTGTTAGTTGCTTCCTTCACAGAGACGATAGAGCGAGCGTCGGAATTCTTGGTAGAACGAGGCTGGATAGGGAACATGTGCGACTGGAACGGTTGGGAACGCCGTTCTCTAGTATTATCGCCGCCCGTTTCGTTCGCGTCCGACTTCCCCGGGACGCTGCTATCATCATCGACGGACGCGGACTGGTGTCTCGTAGTCCATCGAGACCTGCGCGAACCGTTGGACAGGGAAGCAGATATAAGGCGCTCCAACTCGAGGAGAGCATTAAGCTTGGTGTATGGATTTGGGTGGACGGCGAACATTCCTAGCAGTCTCTGGTAGGCTTTCGTATAAGGGAATTCCTGAGTTTCTTTCTTCTTCGAGGACCTCGCGCGAGCTGAAACCGTATCGCTCGTGGCAGAGCTATCGTTGCTCCGCCCCGAAGCACTTTCGGGCCTATCCGAGCCCAGGTCGGCCCTCGATGCCTCTCCTGCCTGCCGAAGGTTACCGAAACTCTTCCTCTTCTCTATCACTCTCTGCTTAGCGGAACTCTTGCTAGCGCGGTCCCTCTTTACCGAGGGCCTCCGTGCTCTTCGCTCCTCGGCATCTCTGCGGTCGATACATTCTTGTCCCAAATTGCCAAACCAACCATCAGTCTCGGAACCGGACGCGAACACGAGGTTACCGAGCTCGGAAAGTAGCAGACTAGTTAAGGTCTGGCGAAGATCTGCTAGAAAACGTTGTTTGCCTTCTGAAAGGCGGCGGAAATGAACAGTTTCGTTCGATGATACGGATGCACCGGACCGCGAAGCCGAATGATGAGACGGCAGCGGTTGGTGATTCGGTTGAGAAAACGTGCTGGAAAGGTTTGTGACGCTTGTCGTTGGCGACTGCGCACGTGAGGTTGCCGAGCTAACGGTGGACATGGTGGATTGGAAAGGAGACCAGTATGTGGATGTCGAATCGATTGCATGGATAGGAGATGACGCTCCAAAATAGTCATGCGAATCGAAGGTATCAGACATCGCAGTGCTGGCTCTAGAGAAGCTATATCTATGGTGGGAATCGATGGAGACCTGGCTTGTGTTGTATGCGGACATACCTCTGAGATCCCTAGCCATGGAAGCGGGACGGCGTGTGGGGGATGCGTATCGCCTTTCGTGGTCGCTGCTAATGACACTGGCGGCGTCGTCACCCCACATGCTTTCTTTATCCCGGCCTATACGAGGACCTTCGAACGCTTTGCGATCACGAGAGTACAATTCGCTGGACCAAAGCACTGGGCCATCCACAATATTCTCGCCGACCAGCTTTGATACGCAGCTGTCGACTTCGCAGCAGAACCGGTGTATACGCTCCTCCCCCTGGCACATATTCTGAATGCCGAGCTGTTCTAACCACTTGTTGGTTATTTCGGCTTGAGCATCGCTCAGCTTATTCGGACCTCCCTGCTCCTCGCCAGCTGCTAATATATCCAGCATCTGCGATTCGTTCCGATATATATAAGCGGCAGCGGGTCCTCGGGCCAGCTGGGCTCGGTTGCGTTGAAAGGAACCCCATTTCCGCGGCACGCCCATTATCTTTAGCGCGCTGCAGATGTTGCGGGTTTGCTCGTAAGGAGCCGAGTTATGAACGTCCGTCACATACCACATCTTGTCCCGAAGCGCCTTTAGGCGTTTCATCATAGTCTCGATCAGACCTTCGTGGCGTTCTTGGCTCTGCTTCAGCCATACTAACCAGGCATCATACTCTTCGATGGCTGAGGCAGAGCGGCGGATCGAGTCGCGAGGACCTCGAGAAAATATGTTGAGGAGAGTGGCAAACCCATTCTTACGTAGGGAGGGGGATGATAGAGCATTCAACTGCTGGAGGGTCTTCCAGTATAGATGCGCAGACACAAAGTCGGATTGGATACGCGATTGGGACGAGGCAGCAGAGAGCATGGTGATCAGCACAGACGAAGAACCGGCCTCACCCTCTGGCTCTTTATCTTCGGAAGCATGGGAAGACTCTTCGGCAGCCTGTTTCGCTTTCTGTTCTTCTTCGTACTTGCTACGGAAAGGGTTACGGCTGCCCATTGTGGTCCCTGGCGTTATAATTTTATTCTTGGACCGATACTTCTTAAGCCCCGAAGCTCGGTTACTAAATGTGGTCTTGGTGCCGTGATCTTCAAGACCTTGGGGGATTTCGAAATCCTCGACGAGTTTTAAGACAGAGTCTCGCAGTTGGTGGTAGTCTTTATCAAGCTCGGGCTTCTCGTCCGGCTCGTCGTCCTCCGTATCGCTGGTAGTAGAAGAATTCTCCTCTTCTGCCTCGTCGTCAGGATCGTACGTCATCTGTAAAGAAAGACTATTCCCATCAGCGGAGATGAATACGACAGCCCAGCGCTCGGCGCACGGGTGGCACGAGCCCGAAGTGGCCTCCGGGCCTAGAATCTGGGCCATCTCATGCATTGCTAGCCGAAGACGATACCCATCTTCTTCGTAATTATTAGCATGTTTCTGCCTCGCCCCATCGGACATAGGCGGCGAACGTCTCTGGGGAGTACCGGCTACCTGCTCTTCGAGTAGAGGATCACCCGAAGTGGTTCCATCACTAAAAACGGACGAAGCACTCATACTGAGGACGGAGGCTGTTTCAAAGTTACTCCTAGACGTGCCGATGGATATCGGCTGCGAGATGGCAGAGAAGCCCGATATCGACGGCGCACCAGACCGGATGCTGCTCGAATGAGCAGATTGCGGTCTACGCTCCGGAAATAGCGCATTGGAAAGCGTGACAAGGTCAGCGGGACTAATTACCAAATAAGGATGGACCTCAGCGGTCTCCCGCAAGGAAGTAATAGACCTAGCGGGGAGCAATCTACCAGTCCTCCTCCCCGACGGTTTGAAACGAGCCAGAATATTTTCAACGTGGCCTTTAATCTTCAGAGGTGTCGATACGGGCTTCTGGGCGCTATTGTTGGCGAGCATCTCCACGACGTAATGCTGGGCAAGCGTGGCAACCTGCTTGAGGATCTTCTGGCGGCCGTATTCGGTAATATGATACTCAGTCATCATTCCGTAACTCTCTGGGTGGATGACAACGGCAAGCAGCCAACTAGAAAAGAGCCATTTGTATACAAACCATCTACGTGTGGTATCAACAAGGCCACGCGTACTATCCTTCATTTCCAGCCGGCGAAGGATCTCATTTCCAAGTTCGATGACACCTTCCGGAATGCCGGTTGCATCTTCGTCATCAATAATAGCAAAAAGATCGTTAACGGCACGATCGTAGAACTCCTCAGCAGCAATGCTATCCTTGGTAGTCCAATCCGAGAGGTTAAACCTCGTCCCGTTCTGGTCCTCCGCTCGGTCGAGCAGGAA